CAAAATAGTGATAGCTGCCCATGGAGGTTAGAGAGGAACAAACACCACAGGTCAACCAAGTGCTACATTCTGCCATTGCCACACAAATGTAACAGACTCATTAAACTCATCTAGTTCTCATTAATTCTTGGTTCAAAGTCCCAAGTTCCACCATCTAGTGAGCTCTGTGCATAAGAGCTCCCTCTGCTTCCGTCACTATAGATCATCCTACTATCCAAAGCACCTAATACTTCTACAATATAAAGTTAGCCCGTTAGCGCAATTCTATCCCTTGACCTACTCTATATAGTTTCCAAATTACTTAGAATATTCGTTCTATATCGCGACTAGAACAAGGCCAAGTATTTCTAAGTATACATACAGAATGAAATGACCACCCTGAAAGAGGGGAGAATTAAGTAGAGGGGAAGAAAAATGTCTGAGCAAAGCTCATGCAAAATAAGCCACTGATCTGCATTAGTTTTTGATGTGCAACCCACATCTAAGTAGTCCTACTAGTAACATTACCAGTCCTTGATAAATTTAATGCTCGTAATTTTGTCCCAAAAGGGCTCTTTCTATAATCAAAGCATTTAATTCCATGGTATCGAGTAAATTTTTCTTTGAGGTATCCTATGACGAAGTTTCACTTGAGTCAAAATTACTTCCTATAAAACCATCTCATATGCTTCTTTCCATCACTTTGCTTTCATTTTTAGATTAATGCTTAATGCTTTAATGAGTTTAAAATATCTGTGATAATGACTTCCCTGTTTTTATTCATACTCCAACACCAACTGCCACAAATTATACACTTTATTGAAACACTCAAAATAATTTTTAGATCACCAAAGTATTTTACTTAAGGAATTTTTTAAAGAATCTCAAGTGCACAGTATATTAACTATTTACATGTTTTAAATTATCTGAAGTGGTGATATGTGGGAATCTAAAAAGTAAATAATACACCCAGGGAGGGGTGTGTGTGTGTGTTTGTGTGCACATGTGTATAAAAATATGTATCTCCCCAGGGAATTCTGTATTAGTCAGTCTGTGGTGACATCCCTCTACCTCCTGATATTTTCAAATAGATCCAGCAGGTGATTCTGTTATACATTTCTTGGCTGAGAATCATAGACGGGGTGTATTTCAGATTGCTTTCAATATGTATGCTCCTACTTAAAAGTAACCACCCCCCTCAAGAAAACAATCTGGGCCATTAATTTTGAATTCTAGTTCCAGAAAGTTTGGCTAAACCAAGGTATCTTGTTTTTAAATCTCCCATTAAAAAGTAGTCATCTTTTTTTCTTCAGAAGCGGAAAACAAAAATTTTAGTGCCTAAAACTTACAGTTTAAAAGATGTTTTATATAAAACCACAACATCCTCAATTAAGGAAACATTTATAATTCTCTGCCACACTGCAGTATTTATGGCTATTTACAAATATTTAGTTTTTAATTTTACCTATCTTAAAAATGAATATAAAGGTACTTGCTTCTCCTCTTCTACATTATGTAAAATATTTAAAGAGAAAAATGTTAATGTTTTCTTTCTCTGAAAGAGTTAAAAGCCCTTAAGATATTTTATTAACATAGCACCCGATAAAGTAATGATAATAAAGGCACATAAGGTATAACAAAATTATTTTTAATTGAATATTAAAATTTTCTTTTTCTTTAAAGTTGTGCCCATCTAAAATATATACAATGACAAAAAACATCATCAAAATGTTCTTTAAATGACTTAATGAATAAGGGATTATATATATAAAATTCATAATGAATGCCATATTTCTTTGATTCTAAGACACTTTACATTTTGACATTTCTGAATTAGGATGGGTCTTATAATCACTGGCATGTCATGTTGGAAACATTTTTTATTCCTGAATGGTTCTCACAATCAATGGCACCTTAGATCTGATGAACTAAGGTGTTCGTTTATAAAAAAAAAATACTTTTTCAAATTAAAAGAGGTAACTTTCTTTTCAAATGTAACAAAACTGACCCACCCCCAAAACAACCTTAAATGTGTAGCTCCATAACTATAATCTTTTATATGAGTAAAAATGGCCAATAAATTTAATGAAGCAACTAAATTATCAGGACAAAAGAAACTCTAATAATATAAGAGCTTAAATAATGAACAAATTTTATCAATTAAATATTATATGCAGTCATTTTCAGAGTTTAAAGTGGATAATTTTATACTATTCCATTTTCCAATGCTAAGCATTTGTCCATCCTATGTATTGAAATAAATTTAGCATTCCATCTATAATACGCTACAAATGATTGCTTTGCTGTAAAATAAATTTCTAACTGCAACATAAATGATCAAAGTACATTATATGTATTTATGCTATAAATAGAAGCCAATGTTTAATGAAATGTTTAAAAACAAAAAAAATTTAAAAAGTAGTATCTACTAAAACTGTAGTCTACAAATACCTCAGAGAGTCATATCATTCTCTAACATATCACAAATCAAAACATTATTGATTTGGTGGCTAAAGTAGATACTGCCTGCAGCACTTTGAACAATTTTATTAAAGTGGTTAGGTTACTCCTTGCATATTTCTAATGGCTAGCATTCTAGTGACAGTACTGGGATCAAAAGCATCAAAACATGATAGGTCTTGGGTCGAACTTAAAGATAATTAACTTCTCTCCATTATTTAAAAAAATGGTGAACATAAGTATCAACTTTGGAAATTCAGTATGAGGATGAATAATATCCTTTCACTTAAATACTGTATTACCAAATAAGAACAAAGTGAGAACAAGTACACATAATTATTTTCAACTATTTTCAGAGTGTCACACACTCCCAAGATGCGATTCTACCGTACTGACAACTGATTAGGTTAACTTTCACCACCAGAATCTTCAAAGCAGTGCAATACTTGTATATATTTTGTTTTCAAGTTTGCACATGAAGGCCCAACAGTGATAAAAAAAAAAAACGTGGGATCAAAGGTCACTAAAAAGTCTTACATTTTTATTGCTACTTAATCCAAGTGAATGTCACTTAATTTTAATAATGGTAAATGCAACTAAAGTAGTTTGAAATCCCAGTCAATATAAGTTCCTTAAGGACAAGGCTAATCATTCCTGAACATTAATACTTTGTACCAATGTCACAGTTTTTCCCGTTTTCCTAAGGAAAAGACTGAAACCAATTCAATTACTGGACTGAATTACTATAGAAATAAACACCCAGTTTCCACTAGTACCCACTTCTTCACGTAACAAAACAAATAATGTACTATTTCTGTTCAGAACCTAGAAGAAGAAATGACTTGAATTTTTGGCCAGGAACCATCCATAAAGCTCTTATAGCTCTTCAGATCATCAAGAGGTAAGCAAAAACAATCCAATTTTAAATACCTGGTGTGTTCTATCGTTACTTTGGGCAGGCTTGACAAACATAGCTTAAGAATTTTAGAGAAACAGAGCAAATGATGAATAGTTGGGAATGCATAGGGAGCAAAAATGTCTATTCATAGGACCAAATAAAAGCCTTCATTAGGAATGAAAAAAAAACAACCAATGGTTTGATATATATGTATATATATATGTAAAACCCAAAGGAAAAACAAACAGCAAATAAATGAAAATTAAAAGCAAAAATAAATAAATAAATAGAAAACTAATCCCCAATTTTTCTGCTACTCACTTTACCTTGGAGGCTAATCTGAAGTGTTACCCACAGCCTACAAAACACATGGTGGATGCTTTGTTCCTGATATATATAATGTTTTTAAATCCACCAACACCTCTATACATTCTGTGCAATTAAGAAATCCACTTCAGGCAAGTGACAAGTACTTTAGTACTAGCACTATCTATGCAGAATAGCAAATATAATGTGAAACAAAGCAATGCAAGCATTCATGTGAATTTTGGCTCCATGCTAACTCTGGTTTCATGCCTAACTACATTAAAACAGAATTGCCAAACGGCCAATGCATTTCTTTACAATAGTTATTTTACCTTCATAAAAGCTAAGAAGAGTTTTGACTATAAGCATTGTCAACTAGCCAAATTTCTCTAATTTTCTATCCGATTTTGAAGAATATTTTATCTAAACTATCAGCTATTTTTCTCTGTATGTACATGAAGACAGACATACAGAGAAACAGAAAAATCTACATTATGACTTACACAATAAATATACACAGATATTACATACATACTAATGAGACTGCATGATTTTTATATCAAAGTACATGTTTTTCCACCACACAGTTCTTCATTGTTGTTAAGAGTAATAAAAAACTTCTGCAACTAATAAGCACATGCTGCTAATGATCCAGGGTTTTAAGAATTTGTAGATTAAAAAAATACAATTCCTAGAACACTGTTATCAAACAAGTAAGTTTTATTGGCATCTAAAAACAAAATTCACCCAACATTGAAACGTACTTTAATATTTATGTTGTTTTCTTTTTTTTCTTTTTTCTTTTTTACTCACTGCAGTATGAGGAACAAATCACAAACACTTACTTTGGAGAAACAGAGACCATAGTGTAGATTTTACAAAATCACTTTTTAAAATCTCTGTATTGTGCTCCTCAAATATCTAGAGCCAGTCTTTGCATAAAATATCACAGCTTTGTCTATTACCTTAAAATTCTGCAGCAGCCTAAAGATATGGATAAGATATACCATCACTTGCTATTTTGAAATATATCTATTACCATATCCAACCTAATGGTAGTATCTAAAAAATTCTTTCTTCCATAGGAAGTCTCTGACAAGCTGTTATTCGTTTCCTTGAAGTTAAAAGAATCTGGGGGCAACATTTATATTTTATCAGAAAAATAAAAAAATGTTTACCTACCATGTTCATATTAAGAACAATGTCTATACAAGTCAGTTGTACAATTATTTTAAGAGAAAGGTGAACATGAACATCAGATTAACTTAATTCTGGCAGACAAAAGTGAACAACTATGGTCCAGTCAGCCATTAATCTATTACAGAGAGATGACAACTTTACAAAAGGTATCTTTTACCTACTGAGTGATGATTATGTCCCCTCAGTTTCTGTGCTTTCTACCACTGGTTCACTTTCTATATCAGCAACTGTGTCACTCTTCTCCTTGTTTATTTCACTTGAAGATGTCAGTTTTTCATAAAGTTCAGGATCATTCTGTACTGGTAAAGGTGGTGGTTGGGCATGTCTCTCGGTATTTTCACCATTAACCTGAGGCACGTTATCACCTTTTCGTTGAGAAGTGGCCCCTTCAAAAAAATCAAAAACCCGAGGATGAGGAGGGGGGACCCAGGTGTTTTGAATTCTATCTCGTCCAAGGCGGTTTCCATTAATTTCTCTGCAGAAATCAAAATCTCTGTCATCCCTGTCCCTTTGCCTCTCCCAGGGTCTTCTGCGGTCATCAAAATCTCTGTGAACTTCTTGTCCAAATCCTCTGTTCCAAGGACCACTTCTAGGATCAAATCGATAGTTTCCAGACCGAAATCTACCTCTTTCTTCATGTAAGCCTTTTGGACCACCATAGACAGGTAGAACCCGATGTTCTCTCTCATCAAAATCTCTATGCCCCCAGGGCTTCTCTGGATTAAAGCCAAAGTGGTCTCTTCGACCAAGATGATCTATGCCTGGCCTCACAAGATTCTCTCTAATATCGACAGGAGGTCTTCCAAAATGATCCCTACCATCTAATGGAGGCCTTCCAGGACCTTCTCTCGGATCTATAGGCCGTCCAACCACATCCCTAACATCCACGGGGGGAGGTCTACTAATGCTTTCCCTGGCTTCAACGGGAGGAAACCGGTAATCTCTATCTCCTTCCTGCTGAATGTTATCATTCCCAAGTGGTATCCTTTTTTCTGGATTGGTAACATTGTCTACACTTTGTCTTCCAGGAACTAGAAAAGGTCTTTCTGGCTGACTAAAAATATCTCCTGGAGGAAAAGGACCACGGGGTGGTGGATGAAGAGCTGAATCAAGTACCGATGGGGGAGGGATTCCCCTTTGGGGTGGAATTCCAGGCTGTATTAAAGGGAATCTTGGTCCAGGTGTCTGTGGTATTAGTCCTGGACGAATGTCTAACATTGGCATTGTGGGCATCCTTTGACTAGAGAGATTTAAAGGGGGTAAGTTTTGAGGCCCAGCTGGTGGTTGTGTTCCCAAAAGTCCAGCGGCATTTGGAACATTTGGTGGCTGTACTCCTATAAGTCCGGAATTATTAGGGATATTTGGGGGGAGTACTCCCAAAAGTCCAGAACTACTTGACACAGTTGGTGGCTGTAGTCCCAAAATTCCAGAGTTATTTAGAATATTTGGTGGCTGGGCTCCAATAATCCCAGAACTACTGGAAACATTAGATGGCCGGATTCCAATAATGTCAGAATTACTCGATACATTTGGTCTTTGGACTCCCAGAATTCCAGAATTGCTTGTCACATTTGGCGGCTGTCCTCCTAAAATTGCAGGGCTACTTGGAATATCATTTGGAATCACTAAAACAGAAAGAGGAAAAATAACACAAAAAATCATTCTGGTATAAAAGGAAACTACATTTGTCATTACTAATGCTATAGTTAGCTGGCCTAGAGTTAATTACCTACTCGTATGCCAGAAGAATCAAGACACATTAGATATTTATTGAACAAAACTTAAAATTATTAAATACCATGCACAGTGAAATTTAAATATTAAAACGTAAGTGGGATGTTACTTAAAAATCTTTACACAGAACATTTAAAGAAAAATGTCAGGTATTATAGTAATTCTCCACCTTTAATAAGGATGTTTCTAAAGTACAAACAAGTTTTAATATACTAACAGTGGTGCCATACAAGAGGACTTGCTACTTTCAAATATATTTATCTTTTAGACCTAGGTAGAGAATACTGGGTAGAAGTTATTCATACCTAATACTTGCTCATTCTTATCTTTCTTTAAGTATATATATTTTGTGCAACTGTATTTTGATACCAACACATTAAAGCAGTCCCAATAGGCCCAAAAAAGGAGCGGTGGAGGTCGAAGAAAGAAAGGTGCCAAAATCTATTACTATCCTGAACAGAATGCCAACTTTTTTCAAAGAGAAATTCTAGGAGATAGTGATCTCTTTTTAAACACTGCAACATTTCAATACTGGTGCACTTAACTGGTTACAAATGCAAGGCATCTCAAAACTAAACACCAATATAGAGAAGTAGTGCTTATGATTTAACTATGTATTTCTGGGGAATTTATATGTTTACCTGATCTGGTGTTTTCACCAGAAGGAATCTGGTGGTCTAGAAGATGAGGTACTTTTTCTTCAGGCTCTGCTTGTTTAGTTGTAGGATTAAAAACATTTCCAGCTGGCAGAGTGGAAGTAGCAAGACTGCTGGCAACAGAACCACCAGGTAAGACAAGACCACCAAATCCAACATCTTTCACAGTTTCTGGAGTCATGGATAATGGTGGCTGCACTAAAGCTGTTTAAAGAAGGAGAAAATATATTTCAGATTTATTAGGCAAGCAATTCATGTGCTAATTTAAAAATATTAACCATGACCAACCCTGGCCCTGCCAAAGTTTTCAATAGCTTCCTGTCCTCTCTCCCCAATTGTTTGGTAAAACTACTCAGTTACCGTAACATACAGGAATTCTCTTCTGGTCCCTCTATATTCTATTTATAATGAAAACTAACTTCTTAGAGTTTGACTGTTTTTATTTACTGGCATCTACCTAGCACACTATATAATAACTGACGCTCAAAATAACAAGTCATCAAGAAGAGGCTAAATTACATTGAGAGCTTTTTTTCTAATAAGGGAAAACAATAATTTTTAGAAATATTTTCATAAAAAATGTTTAGTAAAATAAGGACCAGTACTTACAAAGAAAATGCCAATAGTACAAAAAATAATTTCCAAGAATGTCAGTACATGAATTTCTGAATATACAGAAATGATTCATGCAGACTGACAAATACATACAATGATACAAATCTCCTCAATCCCCTTGAAATTATAATGTACTAGGGTCCTTACATTCACTACTTCTTGTCAAATGAGGTTAGAAAACCCATCACATTAAGAAGAGGTAAAGTGGACTACAAATAAAAAGGTATAAACATTCCATTTTAAAGAATGAGTAGAAAACTCCTTAAGTGTATATGTCATTTATATGTTAAAAAACAGAACCAGAGGAATATAAAGTCACAATTAAACCATCAGACTTTTTAGTCTAGTTTGTGCCACAACACAGTTACATCATTTACTTAGGAATTTTAAGAATTGTTTTATCCTCACATATAACTCCAACTTACCTGGACATACTGTTAGCACACAACAGAGCTATAAAATAGGAACAAAACCACCTGCAATCACGTATGGGAATTATGAGAATTAAACAAGACAGTGTAAGCAACTAGGAGAGTACCTGACACATGGATGTATTTCTCTTTCTCCATTCAAGAGATCCCAGATTTTCTAAAATGAATAAACTAAAGAAATAATTGGGAGGTAAACTCTTGGATGAATCTCTGTGAATGCTCAATTCAGAAATGGCTTCACAACACTCTTCTAATTTTTAGGAAAAACAAAGAATTCTTCCTAATTAACCAAAAATAAGAAAAAAGAAGGATCCTAATCCTGTCAGAAAGAAAAAGTAGAGAAGAGTTCACAAATATAAGGAAAATGGATTATATTATCAATAGGTTAAGTTCTCTGTCACATATACTGTCCTTACACTAAAGTCCTCTGAACCAACTAAGTTCTCCCAAACCGATGTAGTCATCTCAAAAGGATAGAGAAGCAACGATGAAAAGGTCTTGCTGTCTAAAGATAAAACAAATTGAACTTCAGAAAGAAAAGTGAATGCAACTGCTCTAAACTCTGTTACTCCATAAACACTAAAGAAAATGAAGAAGAGATGAAGAGGAAAGGGAGAGAAAGAAAATAAGAAAAAATCAGAAATAAGAAAAAGCCTCTTCCCCTTCAGTCACCAAATATCACTGGAAATACCCATAGAACTAAACTCATCACACTGAAAAATGGCACTTAGAGATAAGAACTTAGCATCTACCATGGTTCTCCTGTACAAATGTACATCAAGATAACTAAATACTAGTTGTAAGAAAAGGTTTTTTTAATAGAAAAATTCTAGGTAAGAAATGTGGAAAAATTTTAAAATTCAAAAGATTAGCACTTTGCAACTAATGGAAAGTAGATTAAAAAGCAGTAATGATCAATGGATGAAACCATCAGATGAAAACTTGAAGCGAAAGTTTTTTAATGACCAGGTTCCGTTACCTGAATGCTCTGATCCATCTTAACACCACTGAAAGTGGGATAAGAAGAAACTGCATGGCTCCTGATGTGATGAAATATCAAGTCTATAGCACCCACCAGCAGTTAAATACTGTTGCTAAAAATGTTGAAGGAGATTCTAAGCAAACCTTTGGTGCTAAAAAACTTCTATGTACAGAAAAAGCAGAAGACAGAGGAACAAATATGATGCCACAAAGAAGCAAAACCAAATCCACTGTCTGGAATCTTGCATACAGAAGTAAACTGTTTCTTCAACAAATCAAAGACATAAAGAATTAAAAAAGAAAGGCGGGTCTCAGCAGGACTGCTCTATATTAAGACATTTAATACACAAAACAAACCACACAAATGTGATCTGGGGACTCTTCTTTGAATTTTGACTAAAACCAACTATAAATGACATTTTGAGACAACTGAGCAAATCTGAATATAGAATGACTATCACATAATGTTAATTTTTTAGAAATCATTTAACAAAAAAAATTTGTCTAAAATTTCCGTAATAAAAAAATTAACAATAATTTGTTAAGAATGAGAATCAACAGGTTACTACTACTATGAATAAAGAAAATTCCCCAAGTAGAAAACTCACATGTTGGTACTACTGGTGGAATGGTGGGTGGTGGTACAACAGGTGGTGGAACTGGAGGTGGCATGAAACCTACACGGGGAAAAAAAAGACCAAAAACAAAATAGCATTAAGAGTTACTTCTTTTAACTCAAAAGTTTCAATAGCTATAAATGAAATTCTACATTCTTAAAACAGTCTTCCATTACTATGACCTCATACTTGTGAATATATTCTTCATCTAAAAAAATCACTTTTAGGGGCGCCTGGGTGGCTCAGCTGGTTGGGCAGCTGATTCTTGATTTTGGCTGGGGTCATGATTTCAGGGTTGGGGGATCGAACCCTCTGTCTGGCTCCACCCTCATCAGGGAGTCTGCTTAAGATTCTCCCTCCCTCTCCTTCTGTCCCTCCCTGCCCCACACTCATGAGCACACTTCTCTCTCTAAAATAAATCTTTAAAAAAAAAATCACTTTTATAAACACTACCTTATATTTGATCCTTAGTAAGCTAAGTGAAGCACAGAGATCCTTATCATGATCGTGTCCTATTTATTTGCTCATTTGTGGAAGTCCTGTGGCACTCTCTACGATGCTATAAAGTCAAAGATTAATATAAGCCAGGCAACTTGTTTCGTATGTTAGCACAATGACTGCACGGGCAGTTAAATACTGTATTTCAAGCTGTTGATAACACTATATGCAATAATGTCATCTGTAAAATGTGCTATTATATTTCTTTGATTTACATGCTGTTTATCTACTAGATCAAGATATTTTCATTAGCCTTGGATGTTACTATATTATGTTTTGAGCATTGAAATAAACCTTCAATTTAACATTGACTGTTTAATAATTTTAAATGTCAAATGATCAAACTATAAACCTGTTTCCTTGCATTTTTAAGATATAGAGCCACCATTAAATTCAATTTAAAAACAGTGGCTAAAGGGGCACCTGGGTGGCTCAGTCAGTTAAGCGTCTTTTGGTGTTGGCGCAAGTCATGTTCTTATGGGTCGTGAGACCGAGCCCCATGTCAGGCTCCATGCTCCTCAGGAAGTCTGCTTGAAGATTCTCTCCCTCTGCCCCTCCCCCGGGCTCGCTCCCTCCTCCACCCCCCCAAATAAATTTTTAATAAAAAAACAAAACAAAAAAAAAAACAGTGGCTAAAAATAAAGATATGTGATTTTCAACAAATGAATGCTGCACAATGACTTTACAAAGTCTATGTGGTATGGTTTTTGAAATAATCCTTTAAAATTATTTTCTGAAAGGGTGCCTGGGGGGTGCAGTCAGTTAAGCACTCGACCCCTGGTTTCGGCTCAGATCGTGATCTCAAGATTGCAAGATCAAGCCCCACATCAAGCTCTGCACTCCATGCGGAGTATCCTTGAGTCTCTCCCCCTGCCCCTCCCTCACCATCTTTCTCTCTAAAATAAATCTTAAAATTATCTTCCGAAAAAAATTTTTAATTCAGATTCCAAATACAGAAAATATTTGACAAGAAAAATTTTCCAATCTTTAACATATAAAAAAGAATTCTTATAATATCTGCATCAATTTCAAGTTATATATTTAATTACAATGTGAAAATTTTGTTATATGACAAATAAATTACAACTATTCTCAGATAATGTTGAGGAATTTTTAGGAATTCTGTTCAATTGGTAAGAACTTAAATTATAGAAACCAAAGTATTTTTTTCTTACAATATGCGAAGAGTTCATGAAGCTCAAAGAAAGATAAAAATAGCTTTGAAAAACAATGTATATGGGGCGCCTGGGTGGCTCAGTTGGTTAAGCGACTGCCTTTGGCTCAGGTCATGATCCTAGAATCCCGGGATCGAGTCCCGCATCAGGCTCCCTGCTCGGCAGGGAGTCTGCTTCTCCCTCTGACCCTCTTCCCTCTCGTGCTCTCATTCTCTCTCAAATAAATAAATAAAATCTTTAAAAAAAAAAAAAAAGAAAAACAATGTATATCATTTGCTCCCTGTGTCTCTCCCTCATTCTTCTAACCTCCCATGGCCTAATACCAAAAGTTCTACCTCTAAGCTATATAAGCTATTATTTGTATTTAATTGGTGTGTGTTAAGTAATCTATATAGTTTCTAAACTAGAAATGCTGACTCAAGGAACCTTTATCAAAAATTCGTAAGGTCAAAAAAAGTATTACAAATTCAATTAGCATTTTTAGATAGATTATAATTTATGTCAAAATGAAAACCATGATTTTTAGGAGGAACAATCTATATAATTTAATGCATACTTCCTGATGAATGGGTGATAACTACAGAGAATTCTGATACGAAAAATTCAACATAAATTTTAAATTCTTTTAAGAATATTTCAATACGTAAAGGATTCCATTTTTTTTCTCTGTCCATACTGGTCCTTCAACCATCTCCATCACCTGGGAACTTGTTAGAAATACAAGTGTCCTGCCCCACCTCAGTCTTAGTGAAGCAAAAGGAGGCCAGGCCCAGCACACTTTGTTTTAACATGCCCTCCAAGTGATCCCTATGTATGCTAAGGTTTGAGAATTGATGCTCTATAGCATTTTAACCTGGAAAAATAACAATTTGAATGATACTGTAGGACGCCTGGCTGGCTCAGTCAGTAGAGCACGTGACTTGATCTTGCGGTCATTAGTTCAAGCCCCACATTGGGTGTAGGGTTTACTTAAGGAAAATAAATCAAAAAAAATTTTTTTAAATGAATGAATGAATGAATGATATTCTAAGTAGAGTACACATAAGATGAAAATTCCTGGGGTGCCTGGGTGGCTCAGTCAGTTACGCATCTGCCTTCGGCTCAGGCCATGATCTCAGGGCCCTGGGATGGAGGCCCATGTTGGGCTCCCTGCTTAGCGGGGAGTCTGCTTCTCTCCTTCCCCACTGCTCATGCTCTCTTTCTCAAGTAAATAAAATCTTACCAAAAAAAAAAAAAATGAAAATTCCTTACCAGGAGGTGGTTGTGAAGGGTTAAAACTTGCTCGCAGAAAAGGAGGTGGAGGGATTGGACTGAATCCAGGAGGAGGAACCGGCATTGAGACAGGAAATGCTGGTGGGACTAAACTAACTGCAGGCACGGCTGGCGCTACTGGAATCTTTTGTGGATAGAAAAAAAAAGTCCATAAATCACCTTATCCATTAGCAACGATTACATCTTGGAACAACAAAAGGTAAAAAATTTCTATTTCTTTCTAAGGGAGATAACAAATACCATTATATTAAGTTGTTGTTATTTGCCTTCTTGCATACTTATAACTGACTCTAACTTGGGGTAAAAGCAAGGCAGTGTTATTCAACGGATAGTATACATGAAGACTGAAATCTATCTTACATTCAAGTGATGTAAAGTAATGGGCACCTGCCTGAATAGTGAATATCATGATCAATTTTAAACTGCCACCTCCCACTAAATTTAAAATACCCAGCTATGGTATGCAACCTAACCATTAGGAAGCAGGTCAGTAAGTTTCAAAATGGCGTGAATTTCTCCTAAGTTTATTTTGTACTCCTAGCATAGGTATTTTCTACTCATCCTAGGCACAATAATTCCCAAATATTTACTTGTACTGTGGGTGTACCTCTTTCCTAAAGTATGTATTATCAATGGTCTATTCAACTTCATTGTCTGAAAGACACGCCATACTTCCTTGTGCAAAACTGAATTCCCAAATGTCTTTCCCGTGCTCAGATAAGGAAAGTTTCATCTTTCCAATTTCTCAAACCAAAAACCTTACCTCTTCTCTTTCTCACAAGTCAAGTCTCATCATGCCACAAAAGCCCACTGGACACACCATCACATAACCCCTAATTAATTATCTGACCATTTCCTATTCTCTCCACTGCCATCAGTCTAGTCTGAACCATCAGCTCTTATCTGGATTGCTACAACTGTCTCTTCACTGGTCTCCCTGCTTTTATTAATGCCCAACTAGTCTATTCTCAAAATAGTAGCCAGTGCAATCCTTTAAAACCAAATCTTTTAAAACCTTTGAAGCCAGATCAAGTCACTGCTTTCTTCGAATTCCTCCAATAATGCTCCATCTCAGAGTGAAAACTAGAGTCCTTCTAGAACTCTCCCTTCCGCTAAGCTGCCTCTCATTCACTTCACTTCTAGCCCACTTGCTATTCCTGGAACACACCAAATATGCTCCTGGCCTAGGCCTCTGAACTAGATGCTCCCTCTGCCTCGAGTGCTCGTCCTCGGGTAGTCACATGGTTAATTACCTCAGCAACTTTAAGTTGTTGTTCAAATGTCACATTCTCGAGTCTGCTCTTACCATTTTATTTACAATCATAATCACTTATCCAGGTACCCTGATAACCCTCACACTCCCTTTTCCTTCCACAGTATCTCACAAACTTACTTATTTTGCATTTTGTCTCCCCTACTGAAAACAAAAGCTGCATAAGGGCAGGGGTTTGTGTGGTTTTCTTTCCACTGATATGTCCTTATCCCAGGTGCCTAGAACAGTCAATGTCATAGAAGGAGACCACGGATAAATACTTGTACAATAAATAAACATTTATATATAAATGACACCATTTCTAAAAAAAAAAAAAAAAAAAATTTTTTTCCCCAAAATTATTTGATTCAACTCCACTACTTATTCTATTTTGGACAACTTCCTCCAAGTTTTATAAAGTAAATACACGAGTGAAAACAGAAATATAAGACAACACATTAACAGTAACAAACACCCAGCACTAACCTGTAACATAGCAACAGGTGGAGGAAAAACCTCTGCCTGGGTTGTGACCACTGTCTCCTTTTCAACTGGAGTTGGGCTCTGAGTTGTCTGCACCGTCTCTTTAACGGGTTCTGAGCTTTTCACAGTTTCCCACTCTAAACAAAATATTTGAAATTGATTTCCTCTGGATAGGTGCAAATTTTCATTTTATTTCTATCTATATATTTATTTCGTCTCTACGTCCTTCATCTACCTTGGCACATCTTTAAGACGTGTCCACAACTACAGGTGCCAACCTCGGTTTTGCCCAGATAAGTCTGATGAGAATACTAACTAAGGAGTTCAAAGAAGCATCACATAAAACACAAATGAAAGATACTAAAATACTTAGGGGATATCATACCTCAAAGGCTGTCTGATATAAGAGGATCAAATCTTACTATCTTGCATCACAAGGTACAAGGGGAGACCGACAAGGAAAAGTATTAACCCAAAAAAGAAAAATCTTTCTGAAAGCACAGCTATGCAAGAATAAAACAAAGAAGCTCTCATGGTTCTTCCACTGGTTCTCCACCTCCCTCAGAGTAAAGATCAAAGTCATTATAATGACTAATAAGACTTTATAGGACTGTATCTCTGTACACCTCTCTGACTTTATCTCCTACCTCTCATTCCTCACTAACTTTGCTCAAATCATACTGGGCCCATAATTTTTTAATAGACTTTGCACATACTGTTCCCTCTGTATGGAATGCTCTTTCTCCAGAGAGCTGCACATCTCACTCCTTCAAGTATCACTCTCCATTAGATCTTCTTCACGTAAAACTGCAATAGCTCCACACCCGTACTGTCTACCCCCCTCTTTCCCCTGCTTTTTCTTCTTAGAACTTATCAACCTAGAAATATTATATAGTTTATCTGTTTTGTTTATTATGTTTCTTTCCACTAGAAACATGGGTTGGCAAATTTTTCCTATACTAAGTATCTTAGACTTTATGAGCCATATGTTTTCTGTTGCACCTACTCAACTGCTATTGAAAAAAAGTCATATAAGATAGGTAAACACAACGGAGTATGGCTGTGTTTCAATAAAACTTTACAGAAAAGCCTGCCGGCAGGATTTGGCCCATGGGCTATAGGCTGTCAACCCCTCTACTACAATGTGCACTCCATGACAGGAAGGATTTTTGTCTGTCTGTCTCACTGATATAATCCCAGTTCCTAAAATCATGGCTGGCATACAACAGGAACTAAAATATTTACTGAATAAGTGTTTAGGAGAATATCCATCAAGAAGAAAAAAAGACCAAGATGAAAACACTGAAAAAGTGTTTGAAAATATTTGCACTGGCCTAAGGATGAAGATACCCTGAAAATTAGCTAGCTTACTTTGGTAAAAGAGCTAAGATGTGAAGAAATAAGCTATATACCACATTTCACAATTATTTTCCAAGTATCCATTTTAAGATTTCTTACTGGTTATAAATGCTAACCATTTTGTGGATTTATAACTGGTATTTTTAAAAATAAAAACACAAATAAAAAAAATAGGCCAGTGATCATTTGGTTATAAGCACTCTAGAACTGCATGAATCGGAACTACAGCTCTCTAAACTAAGATTCTATTCCTGCCATTCTCAACATGGATACTAATCAAAATAATCTAGGAAGTTCTTCAAAGAAACTTCTTACATCCCCAGTTCTTATTTAACTTCAAGTAACTGAGGGGCGCCTGGGTGGCTCAGTCAGTCGTTAAGTGGCTGCCTTCGGCTCAGGTCATGATCTTGGGGTCCTGGGACTGAGCCCCGCATCGGGCTCCTTGCTCGGCGGGAAGCCTGCTTCTCCCTCCCCCACTCCCCCTTGCTTGTGTTCCCTCTCTTTCTGGCAAAAAATAAATAAAATCTTAAAAAAAATAAAAAATAAAAAATAAATTCAAGTAACTGAAATATTTAGTTTAAAAAAGTCTCCATATACTCATATTTGCTCTTTCTCTAAAAGCAAAACTTTTTAAAAGACTTACAGGAAAAATGCTACATTTATAGACTTCTAAAACACTATACTCTGACACTTAGGAAATAAGACCCATTAAGCATACACACTGGAAATGGCAGTGTTTCAGTTTTTTTCTCTTTTTGGGGGGGGGGGTAGAATCCAGGAAATAAAATAAGCGCAATTCATCTTACCATGCACAACTCTTACCAATCACAACCTTTTAAGCATACTTTTTTTTAAACAATAAAACTACCCTTAGTGTTCTTACCAGTATTTACAGTTTCCTGGTCAATCATGCCTCCTTCTGCAAAACCTTCCAAGTCATCCACTTTAACTTTTTCCCACGGTATATATGTAACGCCAAGATCCACATCCCAGAATTGTTTATATTCTGTTTTTACACCTTTGTTTAAAGCCCAAGCAATCTATCAGGAATGAAGAGAAGAAAACAGAAAGCTCAGGTATACCGTAAAAACCAGCTAAAATGTTCAAAATTATATGTAAACAGTGTAAATATAAATAAAATTAGTTGGACAAGCATCCCTGGATGCTCGAAAAATAACAGTAGCCAAGAAGTTTTTCCATGTATTTCCTGGTTTTGTTTGTTTTTAAATAAAGCCCGCATTAGATAGCAACGGCATTTATAACATGGGATTTATTTCCACTTCTTACTAAAATTAAAGAACACATTTCCAGAACAATCCAAATCTACTTTTCACCCTAAAAATGTCAACCTATATTAGCAGTAATTAGAATAGTTATCACAATTTAAACAAAATCTTGGTAGTCTAGGAAAGGAGACACTTTACACAGAGTAAACTCTCTGCCATGAAACAAAAAAGCACAGGCATATTAACCTTGAAAATATTTTTTTTTATTAACATATAGTGTATTATTTGTTTCAGGGGTAGAAAGTATTTTTTTTTAAGTTTTTAACTCAGTTGCAGAAACTGATGGAATAAATTATCTTCAAGTAGCAGAAATAAAATGTAAATTAGTCACAAGAAGTAAAAATGGAAAAATACACAATAAACACTCAGTTGAAAGACTAAGAGGAAAACAAAAATATACTTATTAATAAACCCTTCACCAGTGGCCTGGAGAACACAAGATGTTAAAAAGGAGGAAATAATAATATAATTAAGAGGTATGATTAGGAAGCATTAGGAGGAAGTAGTGAATGAAAGATAAGCTTGTTGGGGTGTCTGGCTGGCTCAGTTGGTGGAGCATGCAACTCTTGATCTCAGGGTTATAGGTTTGAGCCCGACACTGGGTGTGGAGATCACTTAAAAATGAAAGAAAGAAAGGAAAGAAAAGAGAGGGGAAGGGAAGGGTGGGGAGGGGAGGGGAGGTGTGAGGAGAGAACAGAAAAGGAAAAGAAAAGAAAAGAAAAAAGAAGAACTTAGAAAATGAGAAAGTTCTGCTAATATAATGGTGCCCTGGTTAACCAAGAGAACTGTAAGTGTAATTTCAAAGAATCATTTGACTAAAGTTTTAGTTACTGTTTTACCTATTTCTAATTCTGTAACTCAGTAATACTGAAATAATAAGCTTTTCTAGAGGTTTTCCCATAACATTAAAATATAGGATGAATCAAATACAGGAACATTCTAATAATCCAGTAAAAGAAGAGCATGGGTCCCTCCCCTCCAGTCTCACCTTAATGACCTTGGACCCAATCTTATATGATCCGGAACTAAGTTTCTGAAGAGCACGGAAAGCATCTTGTCGATGAACCATGCAGACGTAAGCACAGCCCCTGGGAGGAATCATCTATTAAAAAAATTTTTTTCTTTAGAAAGGGTAAACATAAGGCATTCATTCTGACATTATCTTATGGTTTTAATGAAACAGATAACTGACTACTAAGATTGAATGGTTTTTCCCTTCCTTTTCTTTCTTTGGCTGTTTATTGGTACAATCCATCTAAAACTAATTACTTAGTTTAAAAAGAATTCAAAACCTAGTTGGGTCTTACTCTAAGTCATAACATAAGCAGAATCTTGAATATCACAAGTCAATCGAAGTTTTCCTAATATATAACTAAGAAAACCTAAAAAAAAAGTAAAAAGACATGTATACAATACCACCAGATAATATTGCATGGCCAACATATTTGAAAGCATATAATTTATTCAAAAATTGAAAGTATTTCAGTTTTTCCAAGTGTCATACTGAGTAATGGGAGAAAGATTTTCATTCGGGAGGAGTATCTTATCCTTAATACAAAATCTATAATCTACAAGAAATGATAACACTAAAGCTTTTCAACTGTATAAAACTTAATTTTGCCCAAGTGCTCTGGACAAGGTTTTAACACAAATAAGAAAACAGCCTTAGTGTTTTCGCTTTCACTCGGAGTTCACCTCAAGCTATTTTCCATACTTTAATACCAAACTTCTCAAAAAAGAAATCTAACCCCTACATACTTCTTCCTCTTTTGCAAAATAGACCCAACTCTTTAACAAAGCACTGAAAAATTTTCTTCAAGCTTACTAATGACCCACTAAGTGCTAAATCGGACAGACTTTTTATTCAGTCCTCAAACTCCTCCAAAAAGCTAACTGAAAAGTTTATAAACTTTCCATCAAATTTTCAAATCCTGGATTTTATCATTAGCCATTCAATACATTTCAGTTCACAAAATAACTCAGTGCCTATTATTTCTAAGTACTATGCTCTTAAAAGGTAACACAGAAGAGGGAGGAGACAAGGTAAACTAATGCCCAAATGCCTATGGAACAAGAAAGGCCAAAAATGACAAGTAATAGGACAATCCAAATGCTGCTTGGATTCAGGATCCATTCTGAGCAGTGATTCCTGACTTTGCATTAGAATCACCTGTGCAAACTGTGGCACTTTGATAAGAATCTGAAGACCCTGATCTTGGGCATCCCTATTTTTTCAACTGTCAACACATTTCTGACATCTCAGCTAGGGGAAAATCAGGAAAAAATTCAGAGGTTATATGATCAAGGACTCTGGCAGACAGTTTATGTTTTGACAGGTGAAATTTAAAAAGACAAAGGAGTAAGAAAAGCCTACAGCACACTCATGGTGTAGAGAGAGGAGCATGAAACTCTTAAGCTGAAACACCCAACCGATCATCTACTTATTGTCTGTGCAACTCAGGCAAATCACTTAGTTTCCTCACTGGTAAAAAAAACAACGGGAATTACTTAACCAGCTTCTTGTGAGGTTCCAATGAGATCATATATGGTTGAAAGTAGTATATGAAATTGTCAAACAATTCAGTGAAGAGTGCTGTTATTAATAAGGAAAAGTCAAGTTTGGTCTTGTAAGGATCTAAGACTGGAAAGGAAAAGGAGCCAATTTCCTGATAAATAATGATAAAAGTCCAACAGACATAAAAGCATAAAAACAGTAAATAAAATCAGAGGATTGATGAATTAGAAGACTTCTCAAACAAATAAATTTCTATAAAACATTCTATGACTTAGTTTTAGCCCCAGGGGAAAAAAACCCGACCTTCCGCAAGACGAAAATACTCAAAGGAGGAGAATGAATGGAGCAAAATCACTGAAAAAATCAAGCTGAGGAGTCAGAGAGCTGCGGTCAAGTTCCGGAGGTGCTGTGACCACACAGGTTTTCTTGCCTCAGGTTTGCTTTGAGAGGGAGACATGGGGCGAGAAGAAAGGGGACTGGCAGAAAGACTGGGACGCCAAGTCCAGTTGTGTCTCCACTACTACCTATGTGCTCATGTGTGGTGATTACAGTTCTGTGGGACTCAGTTTCCTCATTTTCGTTACCAAAAAACGGAGGGGGTATAATTAAACTAGGCACAGATACGGTCCTGCTAGCCCAAACGCTGGATGACTTTAGGAACCAAGTGCTAGCTATACTGCGATGAAACCCCTAAGAACATTGTTAGAATTCCACTAAAAAAGAAAAATTAAGGAGATAAACAGCAGCAGAGATAAACAGAAATGATTAAAGTCAAATAATCCTTATAAAGATGTGCATTATTAAAGGCAGATACTCTACTGGGCTCATTAGGAACCAAAGTGACTCTCTGACTAAAAATCCTCTAGATATGTAAATTTTTAAGCTTAAAATATTGTATAAGAAGTGATACTTACATTAATGGATTCAATTTGTCCAAACTCTTCAAACAGATTGGTTAAATCTTGCTGGGTTGCCTTCTTATCCACCTGACCAACCCACAAAGTAGTACTACATACTGTCAAGACATAAAAGAGACGAATGACCTAAATCACACAGACACAGCTATTTCTTTCAAGCGACTGAAGAAAAAGCACTAATAAAAATAATAAGATTTAAGATGGATATTTCAAACACTTAAGTGACATTTTTATCTGTTAACACTTAAAATGAACTAAAATCCCAGATACCATCTACATCTATTGCAAATCAACCTCTTGCATATTACCTGTTCTCAAGCTCGGCTGTGCACTTTAATCACCTATGGATACCTGGGTCTTACCCCAAAGATGAAGGGTTATGGGGTATGACAGACTGGGAATTGGGAGTTTTAAAATTCTGTAGGTAATTCTAATATGTAACAAAGTCACAAAAACACTTTTCACTGCAATCCCATCTCTGCACCTTTAACCTTTCTGTGCTGGAATGATTAAGTGGATGTTTCTTCCTAATCAACAGTTAAATCTGAAAACAGCACCTTATCCTTAAGGAAATAATTTGCACAGAGATACAAGGGGGAAAAAGCTGAATTGGAACTCCTTGTTATCATGAAAAACTTATACTTTAACTGTGGGAAGCATTTCCCTTTAAGAAACAGACCTACACATGAGACATCTCACCTACCGTAAGCTGTACCATTCAGGACTCCATGAACATTTCCTTTTCCTGAAAACACTTACTTGCAAAATATTTACAACAGCTGATATATTTGCAGAGTTTTAATCAATCTAGATTTACATCGATCTCATTTTTAAAGATAAAGTTTTCAGCCTTTTGATGATCTTTTATCTATTATAGGGCAGGGCTCGAGCAGGTTTTACTTTAGAGCTAATTTAGCCCCACACTAGTAACTATTGCAAGATCTCTACTGAACGAAGGTTTTCAACCAGGTCTCTCTACTTCAGCTGGTTTGAACTCATAGGTCTTCCAGACCTGTGTTAGCTTTAAGAATCACTCAGCTAACAGATTCCCTGGTAATGTTCTTACCCTTCTTTGCCTCACATAGTCTCACCTTGTGTACATATAATTTAATATTCAACCAAAGTCTCAAGGAGCAATATATTAGTTTTACTCTATTGCTGTAACAAAATACCACAAACTTAGTAGCTAAAAACACAAAAATGTATTCTCTAACAGTTGTGGAGGTCTAAAATGGGTCATCAAGCCTGCATTCTTTCTGGATTCTCTATGGGATAATCTGTTTCCTTGACAGGCTCCCTGCATTCCTTGACTCATGACCCCAACTTCCATCTTCAAAGCCAACAGTAGAGCATTCACCTATCTTCGTCTTTCTCCTTCCATCTTCACATCACCTTTTCTCTCTGACCCTCTTGTTTCCCCTAGATTACACTGAGCCCTTCCGGATAACCCAAGTTAATCTTCCCGCGCCAAGATCCTGATTAATCATACAGTGTGATACAACATATTTACAAGTTCCAATAATTTGGATATGAACATCTTTGGAGGACCACTATTCAACCTACCACAAAACCCTCAGTAAATTTCTAGACCTCTTTCATTGACTAGTTCCCACTGCTTCATTACTCTACCACATCACAGCTGCTTTAATCTCCCTGAAATATGTTCCATGTTTCCCCTACTGTTTCAAGGTAGTCTCTCCACAAATTTTTCCCACACTTTTTTTTTTTTAAACCCAGAAAGCAATAATGAATCTCCCCCATCCCACGAGGAGAGGACACTAATTCCTAGAATATTACTGCTTGTTCATGTTTCATATCCACCGCACTATTCATGAATACTCTTACGTTCAAAGGAGCAATGGTAGGGAAATACTACCATATGTGTTTAAAACGCTCTGGGGCCACATGAAATTGATATTGCTGTGGAGTAAAGAGAGTTTTGAGGTAAATAATGAGGGGTATACTTTTCACTGTATTTTCTTATGTGCTTTCTGAATTTTCTTTTTTATTGTGTTTTACTCATGAAAAAAACCACAGCAATAGGAAATAGATTCCATGGTCAGTAACTATGTAAATGGTGGCAGCTATAATATGACAAGTAAAATGAGGAACTAAATGGAAGACTCCATATAAAAGCCCTATTCTAAAACTGGTGATTCTGAATGTCCTAATGGTAATCATGAGAAGGGAGGCACAACAGAGATTTTATGGTCAGGCCTTTGATGTTATTTCTTTATCAGATAGCACTAAAATGTTTGAATTTGGTCTCTCACCCTAAGGGGATAAACACATTTTCAGAGTTAGGAATATCAACATTATTAAGTTAACACTGGCTCTCATAATCAGGTAAGATTCTGGCAAGATAGCCACAGCTTACTGAAAATGCCAGAACTTAGTAAGGTGTTGCCTTTAATTATAAGCCTGGATTTCCAGGATCTTATCTCCATGGCAGAAAGAATTTGAAGACCTTCAGAAATTAGACAACCTGATCAGTGTTCAGCTCTTGGCAAAGAATGACAAATTGCTCCATTTTTTATACTTTGCCCATCTGCAGTCGGTCTGTTCACCTTAGAAATCATAACTCACTAGGAATCCTTCAGGAATAATCTGGTACTAATTACCACTCACATTCCTACCAAGTGAACTCTCCTTCAAACTCTACTACCAAATTTGTTCTAATTATACATTACAGATTAACATATAAAGGAGGGAAAGTTTGTACAATGGGAATCTCTCCCTTATTGCTGATCCAGTAAGTTTACAATTAGCTTTAAAATTTACATGCTTCCTTCAATAATTATTCCCCAGACCTGGTGGTCAAACTTGTTTAGACACTTTGAACAGAAATCACAGTGTCTATGTAAAAGACAGTAGGCCTGTCCACTTTATATATTAGTCGAGTTCAGTATTTTTCTAATTTGAATTTTAAAAAATCAACTCTAAATGACCTTAGTGTTTCAGTAGAATCTGTTCTTCCTTTTTCTTTTCTCCTCTCTCACTTCACAAAAACCAAGGATAAAATTATTCATTTACCAAACTACTTTTCGATTTCTTCGTCTAAAAATAGTTAACTTTAGCAGTTAATGATTTTATTTGTTGAAACCAAAGCTTTGTAAAAGTATGTCATTTACCACTTAATGTTTTAGATCTAATTGGAGGTAGTCCCTTCTTCTGTCGTTCTTTCTCCCTTTCTCTCGCTCTCCTTTCACTTGAGTATGAACGTGATGATTTCCTCTTTCTTTCTCTTGAGCGTGAGCGTGATCGCTTTCTGTGCTTACGCTTTCGAGAACCAGATCGCGACCGAGACCTTCGTTTTCTTGGTGATCTACAAAAAAAATCTTATTTTACTTCTAACGACATTATTATTCTTCTGTCAAAGTTCTCACTTCTAGGTGAGGGGGGAAAACCACACCCACACACAAAAGGTTGTCTTATATTTAGCTACCTCTTAAAAAATGTTTAAGTAGAATGAAATATCAAACATGTATTTTCTCAAATCTATGTACTGCTCAGACCCACACTGTAATAGATGTTTGTTTGCAATGATTCTTACTGAGACCAGGAAGAAGAGAATGAGATTCTATCCAGTAAGGGCCTGACTTTCTTTAGTGTCCTCCAATTCATTTCTCAAACAAGAGTCAAGAATAGGAATGAAAGACTAAAGAAAATAAAAAGAACCTTAGGTGATAAAGACGTTATATTCTTAAAATTAGGAAACAGAGAATGTTTCCAACAGAGAATTAGGCCACTAAAGAATTCTGCATATAAGTTTTCAACTCCTAAAATTTCAAGGTGCTTGACTTAAAATATAGGGTGATACTGAAACAGTTTTTTTCCTGTCACCCATATGCCACTGCACTGCTTCAAAATGCTTAATAAGGAGGTGTTGTTGAGACAAGGAAGCTGCTAAGATTTCAGCTCTAACACTGTAATTGCTTTAGCAGGATTACTCACTGACATGAGATGCGTTTAGATAGAGTGGAACTCACAGGCTCTCGTTTACAAGAGGTAAATACAAATAACCTCTTGAAACAAGTAAGAAATGACTGAAAAAGTCATCAAAGATACTGCCCCTTTTCCAGCATACACTGTTCAGATTTTCAGGGGTATTTATGTACAGAAAATAGAGTATATTAATATCAAAGACTAATGACTTAAAAGTTTTAAGACAATTTGTACCCCAAACAATGCATATAAATAACTTCAACTCAAATTTGAATAAGCATGTACATTAATGAGATTTAGCCATGTTGAAAAGCTAACAAAGAAAACCACAGGATATACCTTATTATAATCTGATACTATGCTTGATGTTTACAAAATAATTCTTATAGTTTTATTTTTATGACCACTTTTGGTATTATAAGATGAAACCAAATCTAAGAAATACAGTGGAATTTCTAACACTGTTCCTCTATAGCTTGAGTGAACAGTTTACAGAGGCAATAATATCCTAAGCTGGGTGTAATCATAATATTATTAACTAAAATCAGGTATAATCCCAAATCCAAGTCTTATGATATGGCTGCAATTAATGTATATTATGCAAATAAAACCCACAGATATATCCAATTAAAAGAGAACAAAGAATTCTTCTTTTTGAAATTCTGAATTACTTCTTTCTGGAGAATATAAGGTGTCATTTTAAGAAAAACACTTCCTTTAATCTTGATACAAAGAAACAGAGCTAACTTTCAAAGTTCACACACAGCTACTCTTAAATATTATTGTAGAACCTTGAACGAGATCGTGAATGTGTTCTTGATCTTGAGCGAACAGCCACTTTCTTTGCTTCTTGTTCAAAGATCTCCTCTTCCACTCCATCCTGCCCTTCATCTATATCCATATCCTTGAAAGTCAGAAGAACAGCAAACAGAATGCCCGAGTGAGATGCAGTACATACTGACAATTCTGCCTTACAAAATATTCACCATAGTAGCATTAATGCCTAATATTTCCCTAAAATGGTTAGGGCAGAGCTTAAGTGTGAGGAAAAAATATTTAGGACATTACCATTACTTTACATAAAAATAAAATATTTTACATAAAAGAAAAACATTTACCAAATTTTATAATATTTTCCTCTAATTTTAGAAATTTATGACCCAGAAAAACATTTACTTTTTACCTGTTGCTGAATATCTATAGAATCATCCAAATTCACTTCAGGTTCAAGGAAATGCTGTTGACTGCTCCCTTGTGATGGTGAGGCGGAATGCTCTGATCCAAATGTTCCCTCTTGACTATCCTGAGGGGTTGTCTATTGAGGATGTATACAAACACACAAACATTAAGAAACCATGCATATTATTCAACAGAATTTAAACATACAAACTTCACAAAGTTTTAAAAAGGAGCCCAACACATATAGAAATCCCATGTTAAATCATTTATAATCAACCTAAAATTACACTTCTGTACAAATCTAAGTTTACTTAAGAGCATGGGACACCTCCATAAAAGAAGAAGACTGTAATAGAATGGTAAGATCAAGTAGGCCTTCAAACGAATTTTTAATTGTGGAAAATTTAAACATTATACTTTCAAGAATAAAGGGATTACATCATGAAAGATATATAATGGCACTAAGTTAAATGAATCTAGAATTTCAATGGCAATTAGCATTTTTGTAAAATGCTATAAATTAAAATGCTATAATACTTTTAACGTAAAAGTATTTTATATTAAAGAACTAAGTCATTCATTAATGTATAGAGGCAAAACAAAGCTCAAATATCATTATAAACTAACTGATCTAGCAAAACAGTTCTCAATTTGAGCCTTCCTCAACCTCCACCTCTAGAAATTAGCAAAATAGTATTAGGAAGTACTCTGAAATATGTAATACATTTCAGAAACTAATAAAAGTTAGGCAATGAAGACTAATTAAAGGAACATTTAACATTTTAATCTCCCCCCTTTTGCTGGGACTAGATTTACAGCAACTGGATATAGTGACACTACTTAACATGATACTTACTAGTCTGAATCTGATTTAGCAATTACATATATTATGGTGTTAACTAAAAATGAGAAAACTAATTATGAAAAAGTCTCCCTACATAAACTTTTCTAAAACACCTTTGCAGGTGTTAAAGATTAATAATAGTTCCTGGTAGTATACAAGCTGGGTGCTACTATAATAATTAACAGAGAAGATTAAGTAAAAAATACTATTCCCTTGCTACAAACTCTGATTGTGAACAAGTTACTTGAATTGTGAAATTCGGTCTCCCTATCTGTAAAAGGAGTACCAGCATAGTGACTACAGATAACAATATTGTATTATAAACTTCAAAGTTGTTAAGAGACTATATCTGACTGTTCCCACCACAAAAAAGTGATAGTTTTATGACATGACAGAGGTGTTAGCTTATTGCAATATATAAGTGTATCAAATCACAATGTTGTACACCTTAGTTATATATTGTATCTCAGTAACATTTTTTTAAAAAAATTCTTATTCTAATGAAATCTCATCTGAAAGAGAAAGCGTAAAAATTTAGAGCCAAAAAGAGCATTTAAAGAACCATTCCAAGTTTCTCACTTCATGAAGGAACAGGTTCTCTAAGAACAAGTAACATTTTTAGAAATAAATGAAACTAAAGTAGAAAAGATCTCTTTGACACACCTATTACATGCCACAGTCTGGCCAAAACATCAGTAAGCAAGAACTCCTCCCGAACAAATCAAACAAACACGTTTTAATCCAAGTCCTGGCTTATGTCTTTGAAAGTATAGTAACAACAGAATTCTTAACACAGAAAGGGAATTTTCAGCTCCATCCTGAATCTATTTGGTCCTAAATTCAGTATGCATATATTCTTCACATCATATTTTTCTTCTCCATTTATCTTAAGCTTCATATTCCCCCATCCTTGTTTTTTACCCTTATTTTTCTATTTAATGGTTAACTCTTGGTATAACCACCAAGATCACTGCAACTAATTTTAGTTTTTGAGGTTCTTGTTTGAGTTTTACCCACTTGAAAAGACTATAATCTCATGACCTTTATTCTTTCTTAGAGGTCTTATGAAGAACGAAAGAGAAAATTTATTTTAAAATTTTATATGTATAATCATATGTATAGTCTATGGGTGTAACCATAATATTATTAACTAAAATCAGGTATAATCCCAAATCCAAGTCTTATGATATGGCTGCAATTAATGTATATTATGCAAATAAAAGCCACAGATACATCCAATTCAACTAAGGGACGCTGGGGTGGCACAGTCAGTTAAGTGACCGACTCTTGGTTTGTTCAGGTCATGATCTCAGTCAGGGTTGTGAGATGAGCCCCACTTTGGGTTCCACATAAGTGCAAAGTCGGCTTAGGACTTTCTCTCACTCTCCCTCTGCTCCTCCCCACCCCCACCACCCATGCGCAGTCGTGTGCACGGGCTCTCTCTCAAAAAAATAATTTAAAAATTAAAAATTCAACTAAAAATTATCCTATTATCTTGCAATTATAGCATTAGGTCCATTGGACCTTTTCCTGTATCTAAAACATGTTATGGGATCTCAAGAGGTCTTATTATCCTATATATTGAAACATTTTGCTATTTCATCATCCTAAGGATTATTGTTATTATCCATCAATTATTTCAAGAAAGACTAAAATAATACAAAAAAGAAAAAGCAATGTAACTGTCAAGAGGGGTGATTCAATAGTCAAATAAAATCATTATCATCCAGTTTTACTGCATTACCAAAAATACTGTATATTTCAAGAAGGTAAAAATGAGATTAGAGACACTATCTTTGTAGTCTGCTTTTAAGCTTTCCTTAGAATATAGTTGAATATTTAGATTTTTTCATTTCTGTACATAATGGCAAAGAGAAGAAAACTGACAGGAACATATTTCATAATTATTAAACAAAATAGAACATGAATACAAAGAAAGAGCATCATTCTAGACTCTAATGATGATGTTGAAGTTTAATATCTAAGTGAAGTATCAGACTATGAGTTTTCAGATGACCATATCCTAAATGTATTTCTCAAACTCCAAAACTGATGGCAGAAAAATGTGTCTCTAAGGACAAAAAGAGGGTCTTTTCATCCACTTAAGTCAGTTAATAGGAAGGACTTTATCTTGCAGTATTTTGCAAAAAGAACCTAGACTGTTCTATTTTGCTAAAAGAACATGCGATATTTGGGGTGCCTGGGTGGCTCAGTCGTTACGCGTCTGCCTTCGGCTCAGGTCATGATTCCAGGGTCCTGGGATCGAGCCCCGCATCGGGATCCCTGCTCTGCGGGAAGCCTGCTTCTCCCTCTCCCACTCCCCCTGCTTGTGTTCCTGCTCTTGCTGTCAAATAAATAAATAAAATCTTTAAAAAAAAAAAAAAAGAACATGCGATATTTGAATTTAATTGACACAAAAAGGTTTGCTACATTTCAATTGTTACATTAAAATTGCTCATAAAGTATTTTCCCCTATCCCTTTTAGTCTCACTTCTCTAAACCATCTGTGAGAGGACTTCAAATATATTTTAAAAGGATCCACTGGGCCCAGGTGGCAAATGACTGCTTTTTTGATATACTGGTATACATCCTTAGTATACGTTCTGGTATACACCTCTAGTTTCTTCAATGATGACCTCATGTAAAGCATCAATACTGAAAAAAACAGAAGACAAGGATAACAGCAGCTAGCAGATACTTCTTTTGAAGGTGGATTAACACACTGTCACATTTTGATCAGTTATAGATCCATGTTCCTCCATTTTTCTGTGTAAGTGACAGGAAAGACTTTGTCAAAAGCCTTACTGAAATCCACACATGCTATGCTATAATCCTACAACTGCAGTACCATGAAATGCAATTTATGTGAGCCGAGACATCAAATCACTTAAAACAACTCAGGGCTCTTAATATTATCACCCATCTTAGGTTTTATCATGTTCAATTCTACTCTTTCCATTATATTTTCCTATATAAAAAAAAATACTGAATCAAAGTAAGTTACATATGATAGCTCTTCATTATTAAGTGGCTGAATCTTCCATAACCTTTGTATTCCTAACATTCTTTTAAAAGCCCTTTTTATCAGTCTTACCATTTTCATTATCAGTATTTCATTTTGAGCTATAGCTTTCCTGACAGCTTTTGAATATCCTGATAAAACAATCACCAATATCATGAACTAGAACTTACTTCAGACAATGGCAATCATTCTCCACCAACATGACTATTACTCCCTTCACAATTCAGCCACTTCTTGGAAGTGCTGTGTTTTCAGTGGTTTTCTATTGTTAGGGATACTAGATACAAACTCACATGCAGGTGTGGTCAGGACTGCAATGAGTAGGGTAGCACCAGAAATCCGTTTCCTTTCTCTAAGACACCGTAAGAACTTTTAGGCGGCCATAATGAGCTTACTGGTAAACAAAAATGCTTCATTTTTCTGCATATTTCAGCCTATTTTCATCATATGAAAGCAACTGGTTTCGTAGAGCCAATTACACAATTTATTATATTTAATGGTTACCCTGCTGATACACTTTCCAATTTGAAATCTGTCATAGGTTTTGAACACCATCTACCTGATGTATTAGAAAAGTTGCTTTTCTCTTACCACTCCTTCTTCAACACTCATTTCTGAACAACAAAAGCTTTTAACAGTATCTAATTCTTTCAAAGGATCTAATTACTGTATCCATTAAAATTCTGGAGATAATGTATTAACTAAGCCCAGAGCTCTATTTTTCTTTTGGTTGGTGAGATTCTTAAGACAGAATAACCCTGGAAAACGGAATGGGAAGAAATCAGACAGGGAGACAAACCATGAAAAACTCAATTATGGGAAAGAAACTGAGGGTTGCTGGAGGGGAGGTGGGTAGGGGGTGGGGTAACTGGGTGACAGGCATTAAGGAGGGCACGTGATGTGATGAGCACTGGGTGTTATATGTAACTGATGAATTACTGAACTCTGCATTTGAAACTAATGATGTACTATATGTTGGCTAATTTAAATAACTTTAAAAAAGAAGAAAAAGAATAACATTCTCTCAAGTTTCTAGGAATTTTCACTTCAATAATTTGGTGTTAATTTTAAGAGTACTACACCTTGATTTTACTGCTCCTTCTGAACCTTCTGAAAGAAAACTGGAACTAAGACAAAACCACTACACTTATAGACGGACAAATCTGCTGTTTGGATAAACTTTTCCATCACGACTGCCCCTTGCCTTTGTAACAGCTCTGTGACTTTTTTTATTACATTACTGACAACCTGTTTCTTTTCATTGATTTACAACTTGTGTTCTTCTTTAAACAACATCCAAATGTTCTACATTGTGCTCTATCTTTAAAGTTCCTGAATTCTCAGGCAGATATTATCTGCCTGACATAATACTACACCTACTCCAACCACTTCTATCAGAATTATTCCTTCAAAACAAGGTCTAGAATTCCATTCTCATAATTCCAGGTATACGTTCCAACCTAGCAAATACCATTAATATCCATTTTATGTTTACTGTTTGATTTGAAAGGACAAGTTCAGACCCCAGCAGTGTCCAAGGTCAGTTATCCCTTTAAACTAAAGTAACTCTTCTCTCTTCTTTACTTCCAACTGTCCTTCACTTGTACCTCTATTACAGAACCTAGAATCCTGCCGTGTTCATACAGATATACATGTTCCATTAGAGGAGAGATTACTTGAGGCCAGACGCTTTTTTGTTCATCTGTGTATACATATCATTTGTCTAACAACACGTTGCTCATACTTTAAAAAGGTTTGTAGGGTTATTTTAGTGCCAAAAAGTTTTGCATATTAGGAAGAAGTGTGATTGGGGGGAATTTGAAAACACTCATATTCTAAACAATTTATATCTGTAAGTATTTCTCACATGGAGCAAAAACAGGCTTTGTGATGGATTAACCCTGCCTTTGCAACTTGACGTATTTTATCAATTCTAAGGTATGATCCTTCTTCACATATTATCATCCCTGTAATTTATTAAGGTTCTTTTAATTCCATAGGATGCTATACTTTTGAAGTGATTAAAAATTCTTAGCGGTACATAAAATAATGGTGTCTTAAGACTAATGATACATGATATTAGCTATATAGTTTTGCAATGGATGTTTAATTTCACTAAGGTACAATGGAAGTCAAAATGCTATCTCATAGCATTAAATGTAATCATGCCTCATAAACTTCCTGCCACACAGTAATAGCCTAATTAAAGGCAGCAATCTATTTTGCCATCATCACGATCAACCAAAGCAAAATCATCATGACCTTGCTTGATAGGGAACTGGGTGGAGAAAAGCATATGAAGTTTTAAGCTGTAATACTGAAACACCACCTCTGTCTTCTGTTCTCCACTGCTAGTATACCAAGCACATGTATGTATCTAGAACACATTCTGAGAACAGGAAAGACTATAAACTTTCTGAAAAGGCTGATCTTCCCAGAAGAAGAAAAACTGAAGAAAAATCACCATGCTTGAGAAACACCACTTTATAAAATGTAGATAGCAATAACTCTAAAGGCCACAAGATGGAGTTATAAACCTTTTGAGGCTGTTGCTGTTCTAGGAGTTGCTGTCTGAGATGTTCAAGGTTTTGCTGCTGTAGCTGTTCAGCTATCTGATGAAAAATGGAATTGTTCACAGATTCTGAAACATGAGAACTAGAAGGAAAAACAAGTAGAAACATACTTTAAAACCCAGTGAAGGTAATATAAAAATAACTGATTTTTCAACCTCCCCCATGCCAATTAAATGAAACATACTCTACTACGTTTACTTTTGAAATATTAACAGAAAATGGAATACCTCAGAACATTAATATGTTAAAACAGAAAGACACTCTCCAACAGTCTTTCAATAGATGGATAACATGTTAAAGATACTTTGATGGAAGATCTGTTATTATGATCTCACACTATTAAATACATATAAATTAGTATTTTTTACATTAGAGCACTTTTAAGAAAATTTCAATGAAACATATAAAAACAGTTAAAAGTATTTAAACATTGTCACTTTAACTCCTTCTCTAACTATAAGATAGTGGGAGAAATGGTCTATCAATCAGTACATGTGAAATCTACAATTGTAATTGACCATAAACTTTACAAAACTAATCTGCTTTCTTTAGAAAAGCGTTCACATTATTAGGTATGTTAACAGAAACAGTACTTAGATAAGAGGAAATAACAATTTAACTATACTCTGGGAAATTCACACCTGGAATACACCTGGAATTCTGGGTGCCACAAGGTAAGACATGAACAAAAAAGAGGGCATCCCAAAAGGGGCAATCAGGATGGTGAGAAGTCTTGAAACAGTTGAAAAAAAGTGTACTTCATCTGGAGCAAATAAACCTAAGGGGAAGAATGATACCTAACTTCAAATATTGAAAGGCTATGTCTCAAAAGATAATGGAGCAAATTTGTTTCCTTGCTTCAGAATGCAAAACGGATCAGTGTGTAAAAAGTAAATCAAACAGGATTCAGTAATAAAGATTCTTTAACTTCTCATCATAGACAGCATTAAAACATTATAAAAATATCCTATCAGAACCATTAAAGGAGATAGAGTCTTACATTGTTCAGGACATTGATCTACTAGATCTCAAATGTTTCTCCTCTAATTGTATAATTCATAATCTGAAATATTAGATTTTTTCAGGTAAAATCTCTTTACCAAAAGGATATATGTATTTTTATGTTATTATATAAATGTATTTTGAGACATTATCCCAATATATAAAATAAACTCTGTTTGAAACAAGATTCCCAGAGGCATTCCCTCCACCCTCCACGCCCCCACTTTCCAACATCCTCTTCCCCACTGGTCCTTTCTCAAACCTACAAGAACCTAGAGCTGCACAGAACTGCTTGAGAAAAGAAAATCACTAATCTAAATAAAAATGTACAATCCATATCTTAAAAAAAACAAAATCCCTATAATCCCAATCTTTATTTGATTAGTCAGATATACTCCCAGAATTTGGCAGAATTCCTTGAAGTGGCCACTGACACTAGAAGCAAGCTTCTTTCCTATTATTTCAAATATTCTTACAATTGAATAAAATAATGCCTAATAAAGATATAGAAAATATCACAACTATATCAACATCTATCAATTCTCCTATAAAGAATTTTGATATATCCCAAATATTTGCAAAGATCTGAGAAAGGAGCCAAAATAAATAGGGAGGCAACAAGACGGCAACTCTACCATCCTTCTGTAATATTAGAACTCAAGAGCCTGAAGTTATATCCCAACATATTCAAAGTATACCTGGCAGTTTGGAAGGCAATGTCCCAACCAATGTTTATAATAATAATGGGGAAAATTTATGGTTATAAGAAAAACAACAATTCTTACAGTTGAGAAGCTGAAATTTCCTTTTTGGGTTCTTCACTATGCTCAGAATCTTCCCCAAAATCAAACCTATCCATCAACTTCTAAGTGAGGAAGGAAAAAAAAGGAGAAAAAGACAAATTAAAAGCTGATTCACACAAAAAGAAGGTACAAATGCTATTCTGAATGTCAATGACATTCCATTAATTTACCTCTATCACATTAATACATACATGTTTTACACAATTTTGTTATGTTATAATAAGCATTTAATTTGAGTGAATATTTTAAAGTACTTTTGACATACACTGCTTTATATAACAAAACAAATCCCAACACAGGAGAAACACTAATGCTCTATAGAAGAGGAGATTGGGATTAAAATAATTATTGTGGCTTGCCAACAGGAATAAAGCTTGATTAAAAAACATCTAGGACTATAATCAATAATCTATTCCTAGTACATTTCTCTTCTTAGGCTGCTCCATTGTCTCCCAAATGACCAATTTAAAGGTTTTTTATGTGGGTTAGCTATATATTTTTTTTTTTTAAGTAGGCTCCATGCCCAGCCGAGAGTCCAATGCCAGGCTTGAACTCATGATCCTGAGATCAAGACCTGAGCTGAGATCAAGAGCTGGACGCTTAACTGACTGAGTCACCCAGGTGCCCCCTATGTGGTTTAGCTATTACATTTTCAGACTAAATTAAGCTGATAGCTAAAAAAGTCTAAAGTAATATAATACACCAGTATTTATTTTCCTAAAAAAATATAGTAGCAGAAACAAAAATAATATGGATAACACTTCCAAGGTATTTTAATTAATAAGAACATTATAACAATAATTAATAAGAACATTGAGGTGATCACACAATAAATTATACATGAAAGATTTTCAACTTTAAAACCACTATCCTTTATACTTAGGCCTCAATTTATCATATTACAGTATAATGACAACTCTAGAGAAGTTTTCCTGTGAACTTTCACATTTTGAACAATTATAATTTTAGCAGGTTAAAATTTTAGAACATAGAACATCAAATATTTGTTAACATCCATAAAAGAAATTAGAAAATTCAGAAAATTATATTTGCCTCAATGGTGAATATACAATTTTACTGACCAGTTAGGAAAATATTCTAAATGTTACAAGTGGAATTTTAAAGTTACTTAAGTTTCTTCAGAAATCTGTAAACCTTTAGTAAAATTCATAATATATTACATAGTACAGTGCATACGGTAAATAACAGTTCTATAATAAAATATAATTTACAGAATCAGAATCCACATGATAGCATATAGACTTCAATACTTCTTATAGAACAAATCTGCTAACTTTCTACCTTGTTGAAAGCCACTCCCTGTTCCAAGGGGTTCAGGGTGTTGGCTGCGGCAGCTGCAGCTGTGAGCTGTGCTGTGAGAGCCTGCAACTGCACAACGAGACCAGCGTCCAGGGCCTGCAGGATAGAAGGCTGAGGCTTCTGCTGTTGTAGTTGTAAAGTTTGTATTAACTGCTGAAGCTGGAGGGGGGAAAAAGGAAAATTATTACAAACAGATGCTGGGTTTTATCTGTAAGAATGCCCATCTTTTAGTCAGTAAGATTCATTGTTGGAGATCAAGAGAAAATAGACACTAACTCAAAACAAGATAATTTTTTAAAAAAATGTTTTTTTGTGTGTGCCATATATAACAGTCCTTAATAAATCTGTCTTGCTTCTGGAAAGCCAGAGAACTTTAAGCCAAATAAAGTGGTCATACTACGACAGATAAAGAACTCATCACATACAGACTGATTTTTTTCACTAAGCTTTTCTTTTAAAAATTTTATTTACTTATTTATTTATTTAGAGCATGCAGGTGTGAGCGGAGAGTGGGGCAAAGGAGAGAGAATTCCAAGCAGGATGCACGCCAAGCGTGGAACCCGAAGCAGGGCTCCTGAGAGGGGGCTCCACATGGGGCTTGATCCCCCGACCCGGAGCCAAAATCAAGAGCTGGAAGCTCAACTGACTGAGCCATCCAGGTGCCCCTTCACTAAGCTTTTCATTCCTTCAATTAACTCTTTAATCTCCAAAAAAAAAAAAAAAAACAAGCACTGACAACAACTGCTTTTGCTATCTTTCAGATTTACCATAGGATAACACATTTCCTGAAAGCGGGAAAGCAAGTAAGAAATTTGTCTCTTGGAGCAGTCTGAAACTAAGGAAATTAAAGGTGAGTGATGCCAACAAGAGCTGAAATCAAATCCTTACTCCCTCTATTCATCCATCCTCTTAAAAAGCAGAAACAACAGTAAGATCCTGAAGATACTGCAGAGTTAAGTAAACCCTATGTTTATGTACGTCTTAGAAGTAATTAATAGTTTCCTAATCAACTTCTGAGTTGAATCTGAATATTATCAATTTAGAAAAGAGACAAGACACGTGTACTGTTTAAGGGAAGATTAACTTACAGTGGGAGAAGGTCCAAGATGAAAGTAATTTCATGCCTATCTAAAACAGCTATATTAAGAAACAAACTAGTCATTTGGCGATCAAACCGTAACTACAAACTACTGATGTGAGAGCAAAGAAAATTATACCAAAATATATGATAGCTTAGTTACTGCACGGAGGAAGCTCCAGAACAGACAGGATGGAGGGAGAGGAAGAAGGGGCAGAGGGGAAAAGAGAGAAGGGGGTTAATACCATATTTTCTCCTGTACACATTTTAACTACTCCTTTTGATGTCGTATTTTTCCAGCCAGCACCGTTACTGTTTCAGTCAGGTTCGACCAGTGCAGCACCCTACTTTTCCTTCTACTCTCGACTTAATATTCTATCAATTACTGTGTCTTAACTCTCTTTGCACTATTTCTTCTGGAAAAATCCCTTCTCCTGTCAAAAGTATTTATTCTAGTAAGTATCTTTTAAAATGAAAACATTTGCTTTATGAATTATTTTCAAAATACCATTATCACAAGATAAAATTAGTAATCTGATAATTTTATCTAATATCCAATTCAGTTTCCCAATTGTCCCCCAAAATGGAGAAACTGGATCTAATCTAAGGCTATAACTGAATTAGGTTTTACATGTTTAAAACTCTATAATGGTCTTTTTTTTTTTTTTTTTTTGGGAAACTGTCCTTTTAGAGAGTCTGCAACCCTACTATTTTTCACATATGTTACTTCCCTTCTTTTACCATTGTTACCAAAATGAAGATACTTCCTAGCTCTAGGCTTCTCGCCTCTCCCATCCACTAAAGTACTGTTCAGATCAGTGACTTCAACATGAAAAAATTCCCCACTGTTTACCATATGAACTCTTTTTCAGCCCACCATTTGTCTTTTGAAACCAGGTCCACACTTAGTCAACTGTGTCATCATTAACTTACATGCACAGGCCATCTGACCCTCCAGACATCTCAACTCTGAAAGATCTTTGCATACCCAACACTGTTACGCCTCCATATACTATTCACTCATTCTACAAAAATGTACCAAACATCTGCTACAACCTAAACACAGGAGACACAGCAGTGAATAGAACAGATGAAAAAAATTCTCATCCTTGTAGAGCATACATTCTGGTGGAAAGAGACAGAGAATAAATAAAATAAATCAATTATATAATGTAACAGAAAGAAAGTAGGGTGATAGGAAAAAGCATAGGGGATGAAAGAATGCACAGTTTTAAATCACTTTTTGAAGGCCTTATTGAAGTGACATTTAAACAAAAACTCACAGGTGGCTGAAACCTCATGAATATTTGGAAAAAGAGTTTGAGGGGAGTGGGGGACTTATTGCACAGATCCCAATTAATCTGTGTTTTAAAGGACAGGTAAGAAAAGGCAATGCGAAGAATGGGCTATCCTCAAACCCTACCATGAGTAGTTCCATTTCTAGTCTCACTTCAAATGGCACTTCCTCAAAAACACCTTCTCTGGGCGACCCTCTCTAATTCTGACCCCTCCTCCCAAACCCAGTCACTCTAAAAATTTATCCTGTTTTAAGTCATGTATCACTATCTAAATAAAGTTTTATACTTTTTATTATTTGTCTCCCCTAACATAGAAAGACATCTTCCCTAACAGAGAAGACATCCCTGGTCTTGCTACTGGAGTAACAATAGCACTTAATGTGGATGGAACTGGAGGGTGTTATGCTGAGTGAAATAAGTCAATCAGAGAAAGACGTATCATATGACCTCACTGATATGAGGAATTCTTAATCTCAGGAAACAAACTGAGGGTTGCTGGAGTGGGGGTGGGGAGGGAGGGATGGGGTGGCTGGGTGATAGACATTGGGGAGGGTATGTGCTAGGGTGAGCACTGTGAATTGTGCAAGACTGTTGAATCACAGATCTGTACCTCTGGAACAAATAATGCAATATATGTTAAGAAAAAAAAAAGAAGAGGATAGCAGGAGGGGAAGAATGAAGGGGGGGAAATTGGAGGGGGAGACGAACCATGAGAGACGATGGACTCTGAAAAACAAACTGAGGGTTCTAGAGGGGAGGGGGTGGGGGGATGGGTTAGCCTGGTGATGGGTATTAAGGAGGGCACGTTCTGCGTGGAGCACTGGGTGTTATGCACAAACAATGAATCATGGAACACTACATCAAAAACTAATGATGTAGGGGCGCCTGAGTGGCTCAGTCGTTAAGCGTCTGCCTGCAGCTCAGGTCATGTTCCCAGGGTCCTGGGATCGAGCCTGCGTCGGGCTCCCTGCTCCACGGGAAGCCTGCTTCTCCCTCTCCCACTCCCCCTGCTTGTGTTCCCTGTCTTGCTGTGTCTCTGTCAAATAAATAAAATCTTAAAAAAAAAAAAAAAGATGTAATGTATGTTAACATAACAATAAAAATAAATAAATAAAACAATAGCACTTAATGTTTTGCACAAACTATGTGCTAAGTCAGTATTTTGGTATAAAACTGCATAAAATGATGCCTTACTAAATGAAAAAGCAAGCAAGTTACAGAGTAGTATCTATAGTGTGATCTCATTTTTACAGAAATAACACATACTCTTTAGGTGGTACATTATAAAATAATACATTAGGAAAATAATGAGTTCTAAATCATTGTTGATTTAACTAAAAAAACTGCTCACCTGTTGGCCTTGAGGACTTTGTAAGATTTGAGCTACTGCTGCAAGTGTATCTGTGTTTGTTATCTGAGATACCCACGGATCCGGCAGACCCTGGACCACATTGGCTGGAGTAACAGGTGTCACAGGAGTTCCTTTTAAAAAAAAGACATCACATCCACCCAAATAAACATATAAGTAAATAAATAAGACTTGGAAAGGTAGAGAGATTTGCTTTGTCACTTTTATAAAATATATACAAACTTAAATAAATGTTTTTATTTTATTGTCTAATTACAGAATTAGGTAGACTGAAAAAAAAATACAAAAGGATCTGTCCATACTTGTCCTCATTAAGCTAGTACTAACTTTAAAAGAAGACTACACTACTGGGGCGCCTGGGTGGCTCAGTTGGTTAAGTGACTGCCTTCGGCTCAGGTCATGATCCTGGAGTCCCGGGATCGAGTCCCGCATCGGGCTCCCTGCTCAGCAGGGAGTCGGCTTCTCCCTCTGACCCTCCCCCTCTTCATGTGCTCTCTCTCTCTATCTCATTCTCTCAAATAAATAAATAAAATCTTTAAAAAAAAAAAAAAGACTATACTACTTAGAAATCATTATAAATCTTATTACAGAAGAAAATTCAATGACATGAGGAAATATTCAAAATATAATTGAAAAATTATAAAATAGTATGTTCAATATAAAACTATTTTTGTTTAAAAATGGATGTGTATATGTACAGACACACACACACCAAAAACTAAATATATACCAAATGTAAATTCCTGAACTATTATAAATTTTTAAAATGACATTTAAATATACTTTAAAAAACAAGATTTTGAGATTATTACTAAAGCATTCTTGGCTTCATTAGATAATTTTTTCAGGGTTCCTTATAAATATTAAGTTCCCCTGCTATACTACAAGTTGATTTACATGAAAATTTATGGATAGCCTACATCAGGAACACTTAATTGACAAAACAATTTCCCAAAGTTCACTATATTTATGCTTCTAGGGATTTAAAAAATTCAGATTTTTAATTTTTAGAAAAGAATTATACACAAATATAAATTCTGAGTCTGTTTTTCCTTCGAATTACATTTCCTTTCAATTACTTAATGCTAGATAAGTTCTCTTGCACTGTTAAAATTGTTACTTTATAAATGAATAATCACCTGGAAAAAAAAAAAGTAGAATATTTAGAAAACAAATCTCTATCAAGGTAACATACCTGGGGTGTTGCTCATAGCAGTAGTAGTACTGGCCAAAACAGGTGTGACAACTGGGGGAGGAATCCCTGCTGCCATATCCAAAAGAGGCTGAATAATCTCACTCTTAAACACATTATTCTTCTGCCATAAATTTAATACTCTCACTATTTTACTCTGGAGGAAAAAAGAAAAATGACATTTTGATTTTCTGCTTTCAAAACTTAGCACAGTCATTTCACAGAGACTATTCGAACAGTGGATGGGAAGGATGGATTAAAATACTTCTGTAGTACTTTCTGCCCCTGAAATCATGTTTCTATAATTTTGATTTGCTAATCTTAACACACTTGGAAAAAAAAGTTCATTTTGACAGATGTACAAGGTAAATGAAAGCTACATTTAGTAGAAGGCAGGAATGACAACTCAGTTTCAGCATCAATGAGATCGATGGTTACGGTTGCCTGGAGACTGTATTAACGCTGTTGAAGTGATCAGGATTTATCTCAGCACCAAAGCTGTATTTACAGGTAATTTTGACTTCATGTTTTATTTTATTTTTTTTTTTTGACTTCATGTTTTAAACAAATAACAAACTTTAAGACAAAGTCCTTATCTAATGTGATCTTTTAAAAATTTAATGTTGCAACCAACCCTATTAGAAGAGTAATCTAAATTTCCAAATCAGTATCCCAAAATATGTAAACTTCTAATACCTTTGAACACATATAAAGAACCCCTTTTTACTCTTTCTCAGGGTCCAAAGCCTTCTTTTTATGTGGTACAGAATATTTATTCATTCAGATCTAAAAAACTTAGTAGTGTGGTTTCCAGTACTAATAAAACTTTACCAAAATAAAAGAATTTTAAAATGCAGTTATTTTCTATTAACTGCTTAGCAAATCCATTTTTCATAGACACTAAATAGGTAAATATCAGGTCAAATAATCAAAACATTAAATTCGTTGTGTGTGAGAATAAATATGCTTTCAGTGTAATTCCAAAAGCTTATTATAGCCAGTTTCTTTAACACCAATTGCTTCAATAAGTTAAAAAAATAGCCAAATCAACTATATCTCTCCACTTCTGTTTAAGATGCTAAGAATTTCAGAATGTGGAGAATGTAATAACTAAATATTCAAATTCAGAATTACTAGGAGTACAGGGTAACATAAAATCATAGTTAAGACAGAGTCTCATTAGACCAAAGGGTAATGTATCGACTTAAAAAAAAAAAAATTCCTCGTATCAGTGAGATGATACTTGTCTTTCTCTGATAAAGACTGATGAATCACAGACCTGTACCCCTGAAACAAATAATACATTGTATGTTAATTAAAAAAAAAAAAAAGGCAGCATACCTTGTCATCCCCAGGGCAACGATATAAATTCTGGAAAGTGCTAATGATGTTATTACTAAATCTGGGTGCAAACACATCCTTTTCTTGACCAAACTGATGTCGAGATTGTCGTACAATGGAGTCAATAACATAAAGTCCCGGTACCTTGTATTCTGGTTTACACTGATGGAAAAAAGAATAGGAAGGGAAGGAATGAGAAGGTAGCATTCATTATAAATCCTATACAAATACAGAAACAATGCTTATGTAGACGTAATGAATGTTCAGACATTGACTATTCCACACCATCTGTCTCTGGAATGGCATTTTAATCTACACTGGCTACTCCATTCACCCAGTTCAACTGCCAATCACATAAGTTCCAAAACAGTACTGCATAACTGGCTTGAATGGCAAAAGCCAAAAGGATAAATAAGGTACTGTTGTAACAAAAAAATTTTTTTGTTTAATGACTTTGAAAAGCCACATGGAAGGAAGCAGCAAATTCAGGAAAGAGCTCTAGAGAATGCATTGCCAACATACATTAGACTTCATCTGAAATCCATATAAAAGGGTTTCTGAACTAATGAAGGAACACTATAACATTCTAAATACACGGAGCCCGAAGTTTCAAAAGTTTTCTCAAATACCACACCTATAATAAAGACACAACCATTATGATTCCAGTAATCTATCCGAGTTTTTAGCTACTCCACTGATAAATGTTTCTCAACCTTCTTATCCACCACCCAAATTGAGGAAAATGTTTCCTACTTTCTTGCCACAAGCTTTTCTTCTGGTTAGGTGAGCACAATGAAGAATCCTTTTAGTATCAAGGTTACTGCTCCTGGTTTGTCACCATATCCAGAAGCATAAGAAAACCTGCTTTCCAAGCTTATACTAATTAACATGGAATTATGGCTGCAAAAAGCAGCTTCAATTTTTGGGTGTAATTAGGTAAGTATCTCACCCAAAATAATTTCCTGGAAATCACATATGGCACGTAAATTACATTCTTGAAAAATCCTTGGAAACCCAAGTACCAGTGAGAAAAGGATCCTCAATCTACCCCTAACACACACATACGTTTCTAATGGCATTTTCAGCTGAGACAATGAGTGATTTTATTCTGCAAAAATACAAGATGATGCTTCATCTATGACGCTTCATCTGTTCCCTCAAATACTTTTTAAGACTCTTATCCTTAGATTCTTACTTAGTCAAGAAAATGAAAAGACCTTTATTATCAATTCACAAGTATCTATTGAAACATTCTGACTATTGAGACATAAGAGGGCAATAGGGTTGGTGTCTGGATACTGAAGTTTAAAGTTTAACCTACGTAAAGGTTAAAAACATCTGCTCTGTTGAAAGTTACGGTTTTTGAAAGCCTGAAATAGTTTTCCCTCATGTTCCCAAAACATTTAGCCTATTCATCCTTCAGTTCATGTATCTGGCCAAAGGCTACTTTCCCCTTTGACTACCATACATTCAAAGAAATATCAACCTAGCTGAGCAAATAATGTATCTCAATAAAGAAAACTTAAAACTTAATGAAAAGCAGGACATCCACTTTGTTAAAATTTATCTATTCCCTAATGCCACAAACACAGATAAGTGATTAATAATTACTGATTAACTTGATTTATTGGCATCTTAATTTTGCTAAACACAAAAAAATCTGATATACATTATTTCATATAAATGATTATCTTGAGAGTGAGACTGAATACAATTTATAAGTTGCTTGTAAGAGCTTTAAAAATTAATACTGAGAGGTGCCTGGGTGGCGCAGTCGGTTAAATGTCCAACTCTTGATTTCAGCTCAGGCTGTGATCTCAGGGTCCTGAGATTGAGCCCATGTCAGGTTCTGCACTCGGCAGGGAGTCTGCTTGAGATTCTCTCTCCCTTTCCCTCTGCCCCTCCCCCCGTTTGTGCTTTCTCTCTCTCAAATAAATCTTTTAAAAAATTAATACTGAATGGTTAAGTAATGAATGTACTAAATATAAAAAAAACACATCTTTTTCGCTGATTTATAACAAAAACTCAGGTTACAGACTCACAACACAGAAGAATCTGAGTGCACAAGATAATAAATGGACCTTTGGGGCCTACTGTAAGATCCCAAAGCTTCAAACATATTAGCAGTTTAGAGGTAAACTATAAGGCCTAAGGAAAAAACATTTCTTCATCCACAGTATTTTTATATATACCATTAAGATGCTGTCGAACAGATTTTCCCTCACTTGTAGATTAGGCATTTTTGCCACAAAAATGGCAAAAAAAAAAAAATCTTAAGTATGACTTAATGTTTTAAAATAACTTAATAATAATTGGTAAACTTAGCTAAGTCACCAACTAGAAACCTAAGGAAACATTACAACCAAAAACCTGAAATGTTTTTTCAATTTCCTCTTCAAATTCTATCAGTACTGAAAACACAAGAACTCCTAAGACTTTCCACTGGTATGAGGAATTTTTACTCTATAACTAATAATAATAAAGTCATGTCATATTAAGTTTTCAGTTATATCATCTTCAAACTACATTCTAGTAATTTCCATTTCTTCTGCTGCAGAAATAGGAGAAAGGCAATAACATAGGGAGAATGCACCTTTAAACGTATCACATGATTTTCGTTCTAATGTTATTCAAGCTGTTATGTGAATACCATTAGAAGTCAAGGGTTTTTTGCCAAAAAAACTCTCTAGGTGACTTGGACCACACACTTTGCAATATATAAACACACCTTATATAATGATTCTATTATTAGAATTCGTGCTACCACTTTCAGCTCTAAAAGTTAACATTAAGGACACTTGGGTGGCTCGGTTAGTTGGGCGTCCAACTCTTGATTTCAGCTCAGGTCATGATCTCAGGGTTGTGAGACAGAGCTCCACGGGGCTCAGCGCTGGGCATGGAGCCTGCTTAAGATTCTCCTTCTCCCTCTCCTTCTGCCCCTCACCCTGCTCACACACTCTCGAGTGCCTGTTCTCTCTCTCACTCAAAAAATAAAAAAATAAAAGTTAACATTAAAGGAAGCAAAGCTAGAATGGTAAATACAGGAGTATGTGGCTATACTTGCAAAGCACTGAATGATACTGACAATAGCATTTAAGGTATATGGGACGAAGAGCTGATCTAAAATATCCCAGAGCAGAATTTAGTAAAAAGTACATAAGGAAAGTGAGAATCTGAAAATTTACTGTTTTCAAACTATCTGTGGCCAACTGCCCAAATCTTTGTGTACCCCACACCAGAGGCGAGAAGCTAGAGTAATCTTTCAAGCAATTTTCCTGGCCTATGGGAAATCGTCTTATTATCTTTTCATTTATTACTATCATTCCTCTATACATCTTTCATGCTAAACACAGACTCACAAATAACATATTACCAAACTGCTGCCATATTTCTCCTCTCCTTGCACTATTTGTCTATGATGGGTGAAGGAAAAGTATAGCCAAGCAAGTATGTGGTGTTCTGGGGCTAGAGGATACCCAACATTACAAGTCAACATCATTAAATAATACCTCACATTTTTCTTAGATCTTTCAATTGACCATATATAATGTACATGACAAATGGACTTTTTCATAAATTTGTTGAAACAGTATTTCTACTATAAACAGTACTCTTAATTCAGTGATTTTACAAATTGGGTTCCACAGAAACAAAGCATCTATGTAAGGGTGTCAAGGGCTATGGGGCAGAAAACAAAATAGGTGGAGTGGGCTTCTGGTTCCCTACCATAACCACTACTGCAACATTTTTACTTGTGTTTTATGTCTCCCCTTTCCCCCATATTAAAGTTCCAGTAAGAATAGGAAAGAAGAAAAAAAAAGGTTTCTTCTGGTATTAAAAATATATACAATCTGGAACCTCATCAAAACCAAAAAAAAAATCTTTGTTCTGTAAGACCTTGGATCTTGTGTTAAGAGAATGAAAGGACAAGCTACCAACTAAAAAGAACTTACATCTAGAATATTCTTCAGAACTCTGAAAACTTGACAGTAAAAAACCATCTAATCAGAAAATGGACAAAAACATGAAGAGATATTTCATTGAAAATGCCAAATAAGCATGTGAAAATATGTTCAACATGATCAGCCATTAGGTAAATGCAAATTAAACCACAATGAGACACCACTATACATTCATCAGAATAGCTAAAATAAAAAATAGTGGTAACACCAAATGATGGCAAGAATGTGGAAACTGGATCAATCATACACCGTTGGTGGAAATGTAAAATGGTACAGACATTCTAGAAAAGAGTAGCAATTTCTCATAAAACAAAACATGCACTTACTTTCCCAGAGAAATGAAAACTTATATTCACACAAAAATCCACAGACAAATGTTCCTAGCAGCTTTATTAATAGCCCCCCCAATGGAAATAATTCAGATGACCTTCAATGGGTGAACAGTTAGACAAATTGTGGTACATCCATACCGTGGAATGTTACTCAAAAATGAAGGAGCCATTAGACACGTGCACAATTTGGATGGATCTAAATAAAATTATATGGAGCAAAACAAGCCAATTTCAAAAGGCTACATTTACATAACATTCCTGAAATGGCAAAATTAGAGATAGAGAACAGACTAATGCCCCCCAGGAGTTAGGAATGGGGGGAGGAGGAGAGTAGAGCGTGGCTCTATAAAAAGGGGAAGGAATATGATGGCTCCCTGGGGTGATGAAACTATTCTATATCTTGACTATGGTGGTGGTTTTATGAATCAATACGTATGATTAAATTGCCTAGAACTAAATATACATACACACAAATGAGTGCACGTAAAACTGGTAAAATCTAAATTTGGTGGACTGTATGACTGTCCTGGTTGTAATACTTACGTTATCAAGACATTACCATTGGGGGAAACTGGGTGAAGAGTATATGGGATCTCTCTTTACTGTAATCTAATGGAAGTATCATTATTATCTATTGATTAAATGACAGATGAATCTACAATTATCACAAAATAGCTTAAAAATGTACACCCACAACTCAATTTACCATTACACTAACCCACTGCCGAATTTCTGCTTTAAACGGGGTAGGGGTAAAGCATTTAAATTTCTGCCCAGACACTGACTGGCAATGTTATTCCACTTTAGTGTTCTAAGTCAGACTTTAAAATCAAAAGTCTCATGCTCTACTGACTGAGCCAGCCAGGTATCCTTCTAAGGCAGACTTTAAGATACAGAAGTAAACTGTCTGGGCTGTGACCAACTGTACAAGTGATGGAAGAGTTGAAAAGACTGTTTACCTCATTCACCATGACATAGCAGAACTGTTGATGAACCTCTTAACTATGAAAGACAGCATTTCATATGTCTTTCAGGCTGTGGAGAAACTAGGTGAAACTTAGAAACTCAGTATAATGACTGAAGAATGTGGAGAGCTGGACAAAACTGAAGCTCTATAAAACCATAAAGATGAGTTTGTATACAAAGCTTCACTAAACTTGATTGAGAAGTACTTCTCTTAAGAGAAAGGTCAAAATATTGTGCCAGAAATTACGTCTGAAGGTTATACATTCTAAATGGAGGATGGCATTCCTGGGACTTCTAACTTTTAGAGTGCACGGCATAAAGCTGTTTGTACTATGTTTGGTGTTAAGTTTGTCCTACTGTTTTTCTACTAAGAATTCTTCTTAAAATGTGGCTATTGGAGCACTTTGTATAATGAAACTATATTTGAACAGTTCCAAACTGTACATACTGTATGAGGTTTCTCCTCTCAACATTTCTATGTTGAATGTTATACCATGCAGTGTCCTGTAAAGAGATTAAATTCTACCCTTTTCTTTACTTCAGCATCCCCCCCCCGCCAATATTGACTTGCTTTTCCAGACGGATTCTACAATTATCTCACAATGGAGATAATTTTGCTCACTTAAGGTCTAAGATTCTGAAATATCTTATTAGAAGTACCCCTGCTCTAAATCAAATCAGTCAAAAAACATTTACTCATAAGTTCATGTTTATCCTTTAAACCCATACTATTCAAATTGTGGCTTCTGAACTGACAGCAAAAGTATCATCTAGGAACAGGTAGAAATGCAGACTCTCAGCCCCTTGCCACACTTAGTGAATTGAGAATCTGAATTTTAACAAAATCCCTAGGTAACTCCTATGCACAAAAAAGTTTTTAAGATGCACTGCTTTAGACATTCGAAACTTTTTAAAACAACTTTTAAAAACTTTAGAAAAATGAAATTTTCCAATCACCAACATTTCTATTTTATACTGTGATTTACCTAAAACACAGAGCATACTTAGTTTACTTTGCATCTCAGCCTCAATTCACTAGCTGTTCATCTCAAACTATGTTTTACTAATACTCTAAGAAACCAAGACTTTATAAAAAAGCTGAATCGCATAAAGGTTAACTGATGTAGTCAAGGTTACCTACACAACATAGTCACCTCACTTTGATTCACATACCCTTCTCCTAGTCAACTATTTTTAAGAAACACTGCAACCCTCCTAAATCCTTAATGCCATATACCACTGATTCTCAAACTGGTACTGGTTACATCTAGGCACACGAACATGGGCAGAGTACAAAACCTAAATTCAATTAAAGTACAAATATAGTATCATTTCATAAGTTTTAAGCCCTATGTACTCCTGCCAAAAACCATGGCATGAATAGGGCACTGATCACCAAGAGGGCAAAAAACTATAATTTGGTCACTTTGGACTCTGCTTATAAAAAGCATTACTAAATGTGTATAAGACAGCTGTTTTCAACTTCATCACCCTCTGCTTACCCTAGAAAATGGAATTTCAGGTCTATAAAATAAGATGTTGAGATGTATAATGTTTTAATGGATGAGACAAAATCAATCAGCAGAAGAGAAGTAGGTGGCAGACAATGTCTTATCCACACCTTATCTAGAAGAAGAGCTGCTCTCTAGGCATTCTGCTTGAAATGACAAGTGAGAATTAACACATTTATAATTTTATTTAAAATCAATCATATGAACACCATTTTTTTCAAGGGACAAATGCTCACTATGGCACTGCAAATTAAAAGAACATCTACCTAAATGAAAGTTATTGTTTTTAGAATTATCCAAAAAGCACTATCATTTAATTTTTTTAAATTTATTATTTTTTTTAAGTAGGCTCCATGCTGGTGGAGCCCAGTGCGGGGGGCTTGAACTTACAACCCTGAGATCAAGACCTGAACTAAGATCAAGAGTTGGACCCTTAACAAACTGAGCGACCCAGGCACCCTTATTTCTTAATTAGAAAAATAAATGGAATCACTTTTGAACAGTCCACCAAAACAATTTAAACTTGAGTATTTGATTTAAAAGAATAGAGTACAAGGCATTAATCTATAATTATAGTACATTTAGCTTATATATTGAAAATTATATACTTACTTTCTGAATGAATTTCTCAACGCTCTGTACCACATGTTTATAGAACTAAAAGAAAAAAACATGAAGTGTGGTTTTAAAATCTATTCAGTTAGATTTGAATTTTCCTGTTAAACACAGGTTTAACATAGTTTCAAAGGTCTATCAAAACAATGAATTTTAATCATGAATTTTGAGACAAACATGTCACCCACCTTCATAAGCAATTATTATGACACCTAATTAGTAAAGGATTCTTAAAGTGCATACATGGTCAGTAAAATTGACCCCTGAACATAGGTTTGAACTGTGTGGGTCCACTTACATGCTGATTTTTTTCAATAAACAGTACTATAAATGTATTTTTTCTTCCTTTTGAGTTTCTTTGTAACATTATTTTCTGACTCACTCAATTGTAAGAATGCAGTATATTATACATATAACATACAAACTAGATGTTAATCAACTGTTATCGGTAAGGTTTCTGGACAACAGCAGGCTATCAGTAGTTAAGTTTTGGTGGAGTCCAAAGTTATACATAGATTCCTGACTGCATGGGGGATCAGCACCCCAACGCCCATGATGTTCAAGGGCCAACTGTCTATCCAAAGTTTGTTATGAATTAGAAAAGAATTTGATCACAGTCCTCATAAAACTATACTTTCATAAACTGTTACGCTGACAGCAAAGTACTTGCAATAAGCACACAGGCAGATGTATATTCTTACTTTCAGGGAAGGAAAAGATTTCTTACGGTATCATTAAATTAGGGTAATACCAGAAATATCAAATAACTCAACAAATAGCATTAATAAACATATGCAAGGGAGTTGTTTTCGACTTCATTATCTCTTGCTTCTCCTGGAAAACGGAACAAGCATATATAATAAGATATAGAGATGTATAAGGTTCTCATGGATCAGCCAAAACAAATCAGCAGAAGTGAAGTTAACATACACAATAAAAATGAATAATGGGCTGTTATCAATAGTAAGAAAACAGATGTAAGTTTTAGAAACAACACTATGAATAAACCTAAAAAGGAACAAATCAGAAATTATAGATTAAAAAAATTACAGATTAAGCAAAAGATATCTAAAATTTATGCTTAATAAATACCTCAATGGCAACTGCATAATTAGCATATTTGTTTAAAGAACTTGAATTGTGCTTCTATTTATACTTTTGATCTCAAGAATTATACTTTAAGGGATATCCCCTGAGACTGAAGAGACACATGAACATTCCTTTGAACTGCATCATGAAAATCAAAAATCAAAATGAAAGGAAACCTGATTACTCACAGTCATCAAAGCAAAATGTACAAGTTTAAGCTTGGCTAAAATTTTCATACTATAAAGGAACAGTTTACTCAACAGTGTAAGTCACTTAAATAAAAAAGCCAAAACAACTACTTAAAAGTAAGCACTACTTAAACATTTAAAAGCAACATACAAAATATTAATTACACACTGAGTGATTTTTATTAAATATTAATTCTTCTGGAAAACACCTTGACAATGCTTTTTGCTTCTAGCTACTTTACTACATGGAATTCTGAGGAAAACTGCTTACTAAACTTTAATTCAAAGTTTATCAGTTCACATAGGTCTTCTTCCCCAATAGGTATTTTGTGAGATTTTGCTGACAGTGTGCAATGTTAACAAGCACCCATTAAAATAATGTCTCTAAACACTGATAGATAAAAAAATCAATGACTTACCTCATATAAAACACAGTATCATTTAAATCTGATTTAAAAAGGTAGCTAAGTCTCAATTTACATATGTACTAAATGCAGTTTAATATCATACTGCAAAACAATTGGTATGAACTCTTCAAAAATATCAATGGCATGACAAACAAACAAAGGCTGGGTAAGGCTGGGTGACAGGACAAATAAATGTAATATATGATCTTACTGGATCCTGAAATTTCTTGCATGTGATCAGTGTACAATATAGTTACTTAGGATATGTCTTTGTTCTTAGGAGATTCAAATTCAAGTATTTAGGGATTAAGTGCTACTCTGAATGAAATCTGAAACTAACTCTCAAATGATTCAGCCAAAAAATGTGTTTGTGTGTGTAGAAATAAACCAAATGTAGCAAAGTGTTAACTGGAAAATCTAAGGGAAAACTATGTGTTGGCTCATTATAATATTTTGCAACATGTTTGAATTTTCAAAATTAAAAAATTTAAAGCAGCAACAATAAATCAAAATAGTACAGTATATCATTATGTTTAGGTTCTTGATTGAGAGAAACTTGGGTTCAAATCTAGCTGTATTTATTCTGACTATTGCAAATTACTTATTTTCTCTTAGACCTTTCCCACATCTGAAAAATAGGAGTAATGTTGCTACCAATACCTTACAGAATATTTTAATTAAAAAATATTCTGCTCAGAGGGAGGGGGGGTGGAGAGATGGGCAAAATAGGTGAAGGGGAGGAGATACAGGCTTCCAGTTATGAAATGAATAGGTCATAGGAACAAAAGGTACGACATAGGGAATATAATCAATGATATTGCAATAGTAATGTATGGTGACAGATGACAGCTACCCTTATGGCGAGCACAGCATAACAAATAGAGATGCTGAATCACTAATGTTGTACACCTAAATCTAGAACACGGTGTATCAACTATACTTCAATGAAAAAAATTTTTTTAGAAGTATTCTCAAGTTATATAAAATGCTTCAATTATTTTCATAGACTAAAAATGGTAATATCCATGTTTGCACACTCTCAGAATCATGATCATAAAAATCAGATCACAATGTAAAATAGGATAAAGTACAAGAGACTAAACATTCTATACTAAGCCTATCAGACATCCTGAAAATTCACTTTTTTGAAGAATTCTCTTGCTTATATGCTTACTGGTCACTGTCCTTATCACTTATCACCTCTTTGATTTTCCACATATAAATACAGGGATTTTAACTACAATGGTCTAAGAAATTAACTGCATGTTGAAAACTAAGCTTTGGCCACCAAAACACTGAAAAGTCACAACTATCTGAATTTTCTCCTAGTGGCGATTTTCTCTGTAAATAGGAATTTGTTAAATCTAACAGATAATGCTATTATTCAAAGACAATTTATTTAAATAATTGCTGCTGGGGCGCCTGGGTGGCTCAGTCGTTAAGCGTCTGCCTTCAGCTGAGATCATGATCCCAGGGTCCTGGGATCGAGCCCCGTTGTCGGGCTCCCTGCTCCGCGGGAAGCCTGCTCTCCTTCTCCCACTCCCCCTGCTTGTGTTCCTGCTCTCGCTCGCTGTCAAAATAAATAAAATCTTTAAAAAATAAATAAATAAATGGTGCTTCCGGTTATGGCTGATGTTATTTACAGTAGGGAAACACCACCAAATATCCACAGATTAAAACCTACTTAATTAAATATAAGCCCTCATTCATTCTTGATTTTTTTTCTTCAGATTTTATTTATTTATTTGACAGAGAGAGAGAGACAGCGAGAGAGGGAACACAAGCAGGGGGAGTGGGAGAGGAAGAAGCAGGCTTCCCGCTGAGCAGGGAGCCCGATGCGGGGCTCGATCCCAGGACCCTGGGATCATGACCTGAGCCGAAGGCAGACGCTTAACTGACTGAGCCACCCAGGCGCCCCATCATTCTTGATTTTAACAGCCCTACTAAAGCAGGGAGGCTTAGCTTTGCAGACTTTAAGAAAGAGGTATCCATGGCTGAACTTCAAAAGGTACTTAAAAGTCAAGAAATTTTATGCAAAACTTTGTGCATATGTATATTTCTCTACAGAAAAGTCCAACCTTTCTCTGAGATTTTCAGAAGTTTCAATGAGTCAACATAGATCAGTTCAAAACCTCTTAGAGCAATGGCTAAAGGCCTGCGGCCTCTTCCCACAGCTTAAACATCCTATATACAATGAGGTTCAATTATTTTTCTTAATGGCTCATTTTCAAATCTTTAATAGAATCAATAAGGAAAAAAACATTAATTTTTATTTAGAAACCTCTTACCAAGATTCTGTAAAGTCAGTGTGACAAATAACAAACACATTCACCACAATGTGGCTCTAAGTAAAGAAAAATGATAGTAGCTTCAAAGCTTATATTTATCAAAGTGTTAAATGTTTATCTCTAGGTGGGAGAGTTCACAGGTGATGATAAATTTTCACTAACATGTATTAACTCTGTAAAGAGGAAGAAAATACACTGTTGACCCTTAAACAACCCAATTCCCTGAACAGTCGAAAACTCCCATGTAACTTCTGACAACCCCCAAAATTAACTACTGTTGACTGGAAGCCTTATTGATAACAGTTAATTAACACATATTTTCTATGTTATATGTATTATACACTGTATTCTTATAATAAAGTAAGCTGGAGAAAATATGTTATTAAGAAAATCGTAAGGAAGAGAAAATATATTCACAGTAATGCACTGAATTTATAAAAAAAATTCACCTGTAAGTGGACCTGTGCAGATCAAATCTGTGATGTTCAATGGTCAACTGTATAATCTGTAATAATTATCCTTCCTCTAAAATATTAGTATAGTATTTTCTTCTGAAAACACAAGTGTAAAATTTATTACTCACCTTAATAGCTTTGATGGCTGCCTTAGTAATTTGGGTCATTTTCGCTTTAGAAATGGGTGGTTTGTAGTCATTCAGGGAATACAACTGATAAAAAGAAGAACAAATTTTAAATACAGCAAAACTAATGGTCTCTAAGCAATTACATGAAATTACCAAACATTTCCATTTTTATATTCCCAATAAAATCAAAGTGCTGCTTTCTTTTAAAAATCAAGTTCAACATCATTAGCTGTCAGGGAAATGCACATCAAAACCACAATGAGTTACATTTTCACACTTGTTTATAATCAAAAAGACAGATAATAACAAGTGTGAACAAGGATGTGGAGAAACTGGAACCCTTATACATTGCTAGTGGGAATATAAAATGGTACAGCAGCTTTGGAAAATGGCTTGGCAGTTCCTCAAAAAGTGAAACATAGTAATATGTAATATGACCCATAGTAATATGTAATATGACCCAGGTATAAAGCCAAAAGAGATGAAAATATATATTCACATTAAAACCTGTACACAAATGGTCACTGCAACATTATTCATAAAAGTCATTTAAAAGTGGAAACCACCCAAATGTCCATCAAATGATGAATGGATAAACAAAATGTTATATCCATTCAAAGTATTAGCCATAAAAAAGAAATGAAGTACTGATACATGCTACAAAATGGATGAACCTTGAAAACATTATGCTCAGTTTAAAAAGCCGTATTAAAAAGACCAGATATTGTAAGTTGCCATTTATATGATATGTTCAGAAAAGGCAAATCTATTTGTGACTGCCTACAATTGGGGGAATTGGGAAGAAATGATGAATAACTACTAATGAGTACAACATTTCTTTTTGGGGGTGATAAAAATATTCTAAAATTGATTGTGGTAATGTTGTACAACCATACTAAATGCCACTGAATTACACACTTCAAATTGGTTAATTTTATGGTATATGAACTGTATCTCAAAACTTTTTAGAAATCAAGGGATTTAAGGTTTAGCTGTAATCTCCACCAAAAAATAATTTTGTTTTGAAATCTCTCATATAAGCAAAGGATAATAAAACTGCTTAAAGAGAAAGTTAAAGGGGGGAGAATCAAGCAATGAACAAGTAACTAAGGTTAAATGAATACTGATTAAAAGTTGCAGTGTACTCAGTGATGACAAGATTTTAACTATAATGCTGTAAGATACTAACTTCAAAGTCTGGAAACGAAGCTTTGGCCATTTTACAACATTGCAAAAACAACCAAACAGACTTTAAAAGTAACTAAAACAGATTGTGTTGGTTAGTCAACTAGCAATTTAGGGAGTCCTCTACAGCTTTTGCTCCAGCACCCCTTATAACCTATCTATCAATGAATTCTACTGATTTCTACCCAGTTTTCCCATTTTTCTCCTCTTCTTTCTCCAACGACCACCAAAACCACAGCCCCAAACACTCTCATCTCTTACTCAGAGGACACCTCTAAATGGATGTGCATGTCTATCTTTTCAAAAACTAATGTCTATCTTTTCAAAAACTAATCTGATCAGGTGACTAAATACCCCCTTAAAAAGGTCAATGACTTCCCATGCTTTGGATAAACACATAGTCGGAACTCCTGTCCACCTTTCCAGTCTCATCTCACTCCATGCTCCCCTCCTGAGCCCTTTGCTCCAGGCACAATGATCCTGTTTCAGTTTCCTGCCACACAGTGTTGAAAATGAGCTTGTTCCCTCTATTTCGAATACTCTTCACCAGGGTCTCCTCGCTAGTTAATGTGTACTCATCTTAGTTTGAGCAACACCTAATGAGGAAAGCCTTCCCTACCTTTCCAGCCAGATCAATACCTCCTCTTTTATACTCTCACTGTAATGTCATTCACCTCTGAAGCACTCATCATAGTACTTTGACATTTACTTGTCTGATCATTTAATACTTGATTTTTTAAAAGGACTGTCACAAAGAGTGACAGTAACACCAAAGGTCAAAGGCTGTAAGTTCCTTTAATACCATTAAGATGTTAATGCCATAAGAGCTGTTCAAGCTGAAATCATTTGTGGGAGAAGTACAGATGTCCTTCCCATTAAGTTCCCAGAGAAGTGCCCACCTGTTCATACTGCCAACCATTAGGTCAAGATCCCATCAGACCATTTAAGAAGCTACCTCTGCTAAACTAACAGGAAATTTTAATACACTTGTGGCTTCAATTCCTACCTGTATCCCAGTCTACTCACCAGGTACAAAATAACATCAACACATTTTATAGTGCTTACAACAAGTTGTACGTATAAAGCAAAGGTCATCTTCCCAGAATTTCTCAGCAGGCCCTGGCTACTGCCCATCTGAAATCCACCCCTGCCCTCTCCTACAAAAGAATAAGCTCTAAGGATAGACACCATGTCTTTTTTGTTCAGATTTTTTCCTTTTCTCCAAACTGTATCTTCAGTGTCTGGGAGAAAATAGATATTTGTTAAGAATAAATTAAAATGAACAAATATAAGACACAGCATTGCACAAGCTTTGCACAGAAAAACATGGATATGAATTCCAACTATGTCACCTTATCACAAGCTGCTAAACCTCTGAAGCTTAGGTTTCTCATTCACAAAATAGAAATTCATTTCACAGAAACATCACATAAAAATAAAGCTTTTAGAACATACTAAAGTTGCTCAACAGTTGCTCAATAATTTTAATTATTAAAATTAAAATCCTACTCTGTAGGCATTCTCCATTTAAATGAATAATATTAAAGGATCCATCAAAACACTTGCAAGTCCATTCTTTAGTAATTTATATTATTAGGGCAATGAAGACGCATCAGCTTTCCCCCCACAGTTGACTACATACACTTTTATTTTGTGTAGTAAAGCCCTGAAGTTTCGATCAAGCATTAGTTCATACTCTAGCTGATCAAAGCTTTGTTTGCGCTGTGTGTGTGTGTGTGTGTGTGTGTGTGTGTGTGTGTGTGTGTGTGT